TGATTACATGGGTATTTATACACATAATAATGCTATCTCTAGTTCCGAATTTTCAGAGGTTTGTTTGGACTAAAACACTTGTTATTTGCTATTTTGGTGTCCTAAACATCCACGATGGTGGTCTGTTGCCGAGAAGCATGGGATAGAGGCGTGTGTGGCGAAGACTCGTGGGGGCTGTTGATCGAGGAACGAGGAATTTGGTCGTGGGACCTTTGGAAGGTTGGGGCTGCGGCGCTCAGTCAGGAGACAAAGAGAGAAGGAACTAGGGTTTCCAAACCCTAGTTCAACGGTTCAATTTGGACCCGGTTCAGATGGAAATACAAGCAGACCGGTTCAAGTGCTTCACTTCGGGCCATTGTTGGGCCACGTGTTACTAGTCACTGCTGGGCTACCAATCTGATGTAAACATTATTGTATATAATATATAACAATATTAATTGGTCAAAATTTGGTGTCTTCAATATGTACAAAAATAATACATGTATTATGTATAAAAAGAGCCTGTGACAGTCAAACAGCAATTTTAGCCTCCTATATGAACTTGGTTAGTAAGATGGAATATTATTTCCCTTCTGGAAACTGATACGGATTATGAAGCCGATGACCAAATTCTGCAATTCCATGTAGAAAAAGTGAAGAAAAGAAATGGAACAACTCAAAATCTCACTAATGGATTGGGTTTGTATTCGCAATGCCTTATTAGATACTGTTTAGTAGTGCCCAAGAATTGTTTTTTTTCCTCCAAAATGTACATCGAATGGATTATGTTTTTTTCTTTAGTTAGTAGTACCCAAGAATTATTGTAATATAAATGAATTGAATAAAAATCAAAATACATTATATGAATTAAAATAACTCTGGAACAAATATAATGTGACTTAAATCATAATAAATTTAAATTGAGAATCTACGCATAATATTTATCTATTTTTTAGTTATACTTTTATATAAACAATTATTATATCATAATAATGTTTTCATTTTCTTTCTTTAGTTTTTGTTTTTAGTAGACATAATATGGCTTAATAAACAAGTTAGTATATAAATCGTTAAAAAAAATTCTGTATATATTTTTCTTTATCAAATTGATAATTAAGTTTAGAAAAAAAAATCAAATTAATACATAATGCTCATATAACATTTCAATACTCAATCAAATTGTGACATATGATACTTAATGATATCTATATTTTAATCGATCCATGTTAAAACTTTATTGATTGTTAAAATATCAAGTCAAAATAGATAATTTGAAATTCCTTTTCAAGTTTCAAGTACTAATTAAGAATGTTAAATATATAATCATAAATTTCGGTGTTTATTAAAAAATTATGATGGAACTTAATCAGTTATATCTTTTTTATTTATATTTAAGATAGATAAATTAATATTAAACTTTGGGTTAGACCAAATTTGAATCAAGATATACGTTTTAGGTCATATTTGAAAAATTATCTCAATCCATCATGTTTTCATCTCTACTATATTTGATACAGATTTTAAAACTATCAATTTATATTTTAAGCTCTATAATTTCATTCAATTTAAGGTCGTAAATTGGTCCCTAGTTTCATTTTTTTTAAATAAATAAAATGGTACAAACCAAGTTACCTCGATGATTAAAGAATTTGTTGTTATCTCTTGAGATTATGGGTTTGAGTACGGCAAATATTAGAGGTATGAATGTTTATTGTCAAATGATTGAAAGTATCTAAACAAATATTTCTTTATATTTATCACATATTTATAAAAAAAATATAATAAATAAATATTTTCACCACTTTTATTATTATTAGGACTAATTTTGATAGAATGAATATTACTTTTTAACAATGATGCATGCGTAGTCAGTATTAGGCCCGATGATATTGGAGTATAATAATTTTGTGTGATGTATATCTTAGAGTGGTCTAGATAGTATTGATGATGATTAAGGGTGAACATGACTCCACTAAAAAAAATTCAATTTGAATTGACTACTGACTAAAATATTAGTTTTGAAAGTTTGATTGCTAAAGTGTAAACATGTAAAAGTTTAGGGACCAAAAATATAATTTGAAAAAGTAATATATTTTTAGCATGTAAGTGAACATGTTGACCTAAAACAAGAACTTTCGTGGTAATCATATTTTTAATACGGGATTTGTATTAAAAGCTATAAAACGATAAATTCGGTATAGAAATCGGGTAATCGGATCAAGTTAGAATTTCACAAAAATTTGAAAAATGTTAGTTAAGGGATGGAAATGTTATTTACATAATTTAGATTTGAGAAATTTAGCTCAGATTGGTTTAATTTTTCATATTTGGTTAAACAGTGAAAAATTAGTGATGAAAATGCAATTTTTAAAAATTGCATGGCCAAAGTAGAAAGTCAAAGCCAAGTTGATTCATCTTTGACTAAAGAATATTTTAATGTGCAATGAAATTTTGGTAATTTTCAAGATTCATTAATGGCAAATTAAGGATTTCTCATAAATAAAATTCAATTTAATTAGATTAAATGCCATGTATATTATAAAAATTACTAGAAAAATCAAGATTTATTCTTCCTCCATCAGCTGCTGCCGTAAACCCCTACAAGGTGAGAAAAAAAAATCTTTTTCATTTTTGAGCTATTTTAGTAGGATTTTGGATTAAGTTATGAAATAGAAAAATGTTCTCCATCAAATTCTTTATTTTTTGGTATAAGAGATTCAAGTTAAACATGCTTGGATGTTGAGAATTATTGATTAGGGTTTATGATGGGTTTGCGGAGTTTAAAGATTTGATGCAATATCATTATGTTTTTGAGGTTGAAATTAATTCTAAGACATGTATGATGATTGAAATTATTTATACATGTTAATATTAGGTTGGGCCAATTTAAAGTTTATGGAGAATTGATGGAGTTGGATTTAATTTGTTGTTATGATGATTAGAATAACATGAATTTAAGGTAAGGAAGTTGAATTCATGATTGAAATTGAATGGAAATCAAGCTTTATGGTTCTTGGAATATTCGACCATTCAAGGGAAAATAGGGGGAAATATTGAAAAATTTTCTATGATCAAGAATTGATGTTAGATGTGCTCTATGTGACTTGGAGATCAATTTGGAAGCTTGAATTAGAAAAAGGGTTATTTTACAAGTTTTGATAATTTTGGCATCTTATTGCATAAATGTGATCGTTGGAGGGTTCAATGTTGAATTTTAACATTTGAAATGTTGGAATTTTTAAGCTGGGAAGTTGATTGGAACCAAAATTTAAGTTTGGTAAAATTTAGTGGTAGAATTTGAAAAGTCCTAAAGTTTAGGGACTTGATTGCGAGTTATTAAATGTAAAAGTATTGTTTGAGTAAAATATTACAATACAGGAAATTTTATTAGTATGTTGATTTTTGGAGTTTGATTATATGTTGGGAGCAATTTGCAAGTTTATTAAAGTAAAGGGTTGAATTTGAAAAGTCTAAGAAAGTTTAGGATGAACTTTCAAGCTTTTGAATGTTTAAGTGTTGATTTGGATATTTTAATAAGGTGTTATAAATTTTAGAAATTTATGTAGAATGATCATAATGGTGAAGGGCTATTATGAATGTAATGGAAAAGTTAAGGTGAATTCTAGAAAGAGTTCATAATTAGTGATTTGATTTTGTAATTAGCAAAAGCTGAAGGGTTGATGATGGAAATAAATAATTATGGAATTTAAAGAGTATGTTTTAGAAGTTTGAATCTATGATGGAAGTATGATTTACTTTTATATCAAGTTAGTATCGATTTTATTTTTATAGACTTTTATATTATTAAGTTTAGATTATGTTAGTACAATAATAACATATAGTTGAATATTTTATGTTATTATATGACGTTGTCATATCACGATAAACTTAGCGATCCAAAAGAAAAGAAAAAAGCACAAGAGTAAGGAGTATTATATAAAAGTTCGGTTGTGAGGCAAATGTGAGTCTAATTTATTTATTTAATTATTTTGATCAATGAAGACTTGTGATAAATCAACCTCATATTATTTTTAATTGTGGATTATTTTCATAATATTTTCATCTAGTTTTATGAATGATTTAGGGTATAAACTATCCAAGTACAATTTTTATGATGATGAATTTTTAAGTGTTTATGACTTTCAGACATTGATTAATAAGTAAATATATTATATTTTAAAAAGTCCATAGGTAAATTTGGCATGATATTAAGTTGAGTAAATTTAAGTTATAGTACATTCATGTACATTATGTATTTGCACTGTGAGTTCACATAATATGATTTGCACTTGAAGTACATCTTATGATACATTATAATTGGCACAATGATGTGCCTAGTGCACACCTTATGTTCTACTCACGTACATTGTGTTCTCATAAATATGCATTTATAAAAATGAATATAAAAGTTATGATTTACGTCAAGTTAACACAAAGTATGATATGATTATTTTAACTGATATTATTTAGGGTAAATTATAGTAATGATCACTGAACTTTTCTAAAGCTTTCAGTCAGGTCCCCCAACTTTTAAAACTTGCAATACAGTCCCCAACATTTAGTCCGTTTGCAATATGATCCCCAACAATTACGTCAGGGACCATATTGCAAACGGACTAAATGTTGAGAGACCATATTGTAAACAAACTAAATGTTGGAGGATTATATTGCAAGTTTTAAAAGTTGGGGGACCTAAATAAAAGCTTTAGAAAAGTTCAGTGACCATTACTATACTTTACCCATATTAAAATTATATTTTTGAACAAGTTTTGTTGTATCCTCTCAATTTTTTTTGGTTGTAGATCAATTAATACTCGTTGAAAAGAAAATATTTAAATTCTTTTCATTTGTTTTTAAAGTCTATTTAAAAGCATATACATAGAATGCTTGGTGATGAGTGACTTGCAAGCCAAGTCAGTGAAGAAATTTGTATAAAGCTTTGCAAACAAACCTGGGAATTTTATTATCAAAGCAAAGCAAAGCAAAGCAATGAATGCCTTCAACTGTGATAGCATCAACAAAGCAAAACCACCACCTTCATTCTTCACAAACCAACTAAACAATTTGAATGCCTTCAACCGGAACTGTACTAATCTGCAAGGTTCTACCATCTCCGATAAACCGGATACAAGGCAATGAAGGATCTGTAATGGATTCGATCTCAAGAAAATCGAAATCATATGCACCAGAATGTTTCAAACTAAATGCAGAAACTACTGCAATCCATCCCACCATGGAAGCTGCCCAATAACTGGTCATCCCATGAATCAAGCCCCAAGCTATAGCATACCCCACAATGATTCCAGATAAATGTCCAACAAAACTTGCTTGCGGAACAATTATCCAAGTGAAAATCAACGACTCGAAAGGCGCAAAACTAATAGGAAGCGAAAGGAATCCAAAGAGATCCAACTTTGATGAAGGTTGCTTCACAGACAAAACCGTCATCCATCCAAAAACAACACAAGAATAACCGACAACAGTCACTCGCCGGAAATACTCAATCTTAAACCGCTGAATTAACAAATGGTACATTCCCAACACGAGCAACCCCGACACAACAACCAAAACAAGTGTGTAATGAAGGTAATAAGCCACTCCAAGGCCTAAATGGCCTAATTGCTCAACAACACCAAGACTCCAAAGGGCACTCATATTGAAAACAAGATGAACACTTATATGTGAAAAAGCTGAAGTAATTACTCTCCAATATTGCCCTTCCAACGCCGTTTCGTAACTTAAACCGACATGCTGATAACCAATGTTCTTCTTCTGGATGTAATACCATATTCCACTACAGATTCCTATTATACAGCTTGTTGCTGGTTTTTCCAATATCTCATAAAACAATGGATTCCCCATCACTACTTAAACTAAAAAAATTCCTTCAACTTCTCTCCTTTCAGCTTTATTCAATCTAAAGAGAAAAACCCAACATTAAAATCCAGTTAAAATTCATGAGCCTATCAATTCTTAAGATAAAAATCGTCACTTTTTTTAGCACAAATCAATCAATAAATTTTGACAAAATTTTAAGGTAAACCAAACCTTGCACTGAATCAAAAACCAGATTTGAAATTCCCAATACAATTACAAATATTCATGTCAATATATAACAATGAACGGCTATATGAGGACTGGGCTTTTTCACGGTAGATCAAATGACTGCTTCAAGCAGGAGAAATGAGAGAATTTAAAGAGATTTTAGTTCATACAGAAAACAAAAGGGGGGAGATAAACGATCTTACTTTCTCTTCTTTGGCCGTAAATGGATTCACGATTTCTGGTTGCCTCCCCAGAAAATAATTATTCAATTTGATCATTAAAACAATATCTGTCGGAGATCTGGACTGTTTTTCCTACAAAATTTTATTGTTTCTTGGATGAATTACACAAATATTTACTTACCTTAGAGTAAGTTTTTGTTTTTGTTAATACTATTGCCACATTAACTCCATAAGTAAATTTCCCCAAATTATTATTAGGGTAAAATATAGTACTCACTGAATTTTTTTAAAGCTTTCATTTAGGTCTCTTAACTTTTAAAATTTGTAATATAATCCTCCAACATTTAGTCCATTTGTAATATGGTCCCTTAACATTTAGTTCATTTGTAATAAGGTCCCCGACGTAACTGTTGGGGGACCATATTGCAAACAGACTAAATGTTGGGGGACTATATTGCAAGTTTTAAAAGTTAGGGAACCTAAATGAAAGCTTTAGAAAAATTTAGTGACCATTACTATACTTTACCCTATTATTTATTATGATTTTTATGAAATCATGAATTAACATGAATTTCAGGTTACGATGAAGAAATTGGGTTGAATAAGTCGGTTTGCAAGTTTAATGTTTTATTTAAATTTTTTGTTTATATTTATGATATTTTCATGTTTTATCTCACCTTAGCTTATTATTGTCTCACTAAGTTATACTTAGCGCATGATGATTTTCATGCGTAGATTCTGATATAGATAAGGACGAGTAGTGAGGAGCCTCCCGAGCATCTTTTTGAAAGTCATATCTATCATCAATATTAATAAGACATCTATGATGTTACTTTTGATTTTTAGTGGCATGTATATTTATGTTAGTAGTTCTAGTTATCGAATTTGTTTTCAAATGGTCTGTAATAGTTAAATATGACTATTTTATCTTGGTCAATTTAGTTTTATCAATAATTATGAATGAGTAGTATATATATATATATATATATATATATATATATATATATATATATATATAAAGTGGATTGAAAATCTAGCAGAAGTTAGGTAATTTTAATTAGTTTGTGAAACATCATTAAATTGTTTAATCGCTGCCCAAAAATAAGTTTGTTTTAAATGTCTGAATATTAATTTATGTTTTTATGTGATTAAGAAAATAGTTTTAAAGTTGGACTATAAATGTTTTTAAAATAAAACAAAATTTTAAGCATTTATGTTCAATGAAAATCTATCATATTGATGTGATATCTTTAATTCGTATTTCGAAACGTATATGAACTATGAGTGTTACACTTAGACAGGCCTTAAGTGAGGATCTGGTGCACCTTGCGACTGGTAACCCCATTCCTTGTGATGATCTCGGAGAGGACTATCCGATTTGGTACTGGGAACCCAATGGCGAATGTTCGGTCAAAATCGCTTACCACCAACTCTAATAGGATAAATGGGAACCCCAAAATAATAATTGGAACCTAACTTGGCATTTTAATGGTCTCCAAAGAATTAAATAATTCATAAGACTTGTCGTGTGCAACCATCTTATGACTAACATGGAGCACAACAGATGGGGTCTGTCTACCGAGCCTCAATGCCCGATTTGTGGCAGGGAGGATGAAACCATCATTCATGCTTTGCGCGATTGCCCCCCAAGCTAACTCGGTCTGGGAAGTATTAATTCTAAATAACTTTTTTGCTTCGTTCTTCTCTGCTCCTCTTATAGATTGGTTAAAGGTCAACTTAGCTAAGATTTTAAATCTCAACTGTAGATTTTCATTGGCACCATCTCTTCAGCATCATCGCTTGGAGACTTTGGAAGCAACGAATCTGCTTCATTTTTAACGACCGAGTGTGGGCGACGTCGAATATTCTCCAATCAACGAGATCCTGGGCAAGTATCATCAAGCAGAACCAAGGAAGAAAAAAGTCTTAGTAGCAACCACAAGAACACCTACCAAAGATTCGTACCTACTACAACTATCCTGCTCAGCACCGATGGACCCATGGACTCGAGCTTTATAAAAGCCACTAGAGGGGGAGCTCTCAGGGACGATAACGACGAATAGACCACGGGCTACACAAGGATAATTGGTTGTTGCTCGGCTTATTACACTGAGCTGTTGGCACTCTTTGATGGTATGGAAATTGGTTGACAATGAGGACATCGTCACCTAGTTGTGGAGAAGGATAGCCTTGAAGCCATACGTAGATTAACCTCTCCTATCCAGGCGGATGAATCCACCAATCTCAAGCGAGTTCAAAGCTAAATAAATCGTCAGTGAAGCTTTTCTTTCGTCCACATCCCACGTGACATGAACAGACTAGTTGATGCCTTGGCTCGCATTGGTCGTGGAGTGTATTTGGGGCTCTTGATTTTCCTTCAGCCCCCTATGGAAGTGCAGAATATCCTTGCTTTTGGACAAAACCACCCTGAGTACAAGACTTGTTGATGTTTAATTTAGACAAAAAAAGAACCTGAGGTCCTTGAACTCTAAAAAAATAATAATGTGCCATCATCTTATCTTTCAAATCAATATGGCCCTCCAACTATAAAAAGAAACTTAATGTAGTTTTTTGACCAACGATTTTTGTCTTTGACCGACGATTCCGTTAATTCCTGCTATTATAAATTGGGTAAATTACACAATTCATCACTCGACTATCTTCTCTTTTCTATTTTGGTCACTAAACTCTAATTTTTTTAATTTAATCATTCAACATTTAAATTGCTCCTATTTTAATTATCACAACTTATTTTATTAATATTTATGTATGATGTGATATTTGTTATTATTATTATTATATTAATATATAATTAAAATATTATTAATTTTCACTCGTGCCTTTTTTCCAAATTACATTCAAAGCAAGAAGTTCAAAATCTTCTATAAAAAAATTCAAATACCCACTAAACAGTATTCCCAATAAACAAATATTACTAAGTTAATCTAACTGAAAATAAATCTCAAAGGACAACAAAATGAAATATCAACAAACCTAGAAAAAAGAAAACAAAGCAACACCCAAAATATGTGAAGTTAGCGAGGATACTTTCAACTGTGGCCATGCTCACGGAGCAGGGGTATTTGATTCTTTTTTTTGGGATTTAGTGGGTATTTGATTTTTTTTATGAAAGATTTTGAATTTCTTGCTTTGAATGTATTTTGATAAAAAGACACCCGAGGTTCTTGGGTTTTTGGCTGTTACTCTTTGAATAAATTAAAAAATTGAATTTAAATTAAAATGGAATAAAATAATAAAGATGGGGTGGGTTGTGATTAAGGGTTTTGGGAATATTTTTTATTTAAATACAAATTTTTAATTACTTTAAAAAATTTAATAATATTATTTTAATTATATATTTATAAAATAATAATAAATGTCATATTATACATAAATTTTAATAAAATAAATCATGACAATTAAAATAGGAGCAATTCAAAAATTGAGTGATTAAATTAAAAGTTTTTAGAGTTTATTGATTAAAATAGAAGAGAAAAGATAGTTGAGTGATAAATAATATAATTTACCCAATTTATAACAACAGAAATTAACGAAACCCTTGATCAATGACACAAAATATTGATCAAAGAGTTATATCAATTTTTTTTTTGAGATGGACTATATTAATAAAAAAAAATAGGATGAGGGTATATTAATTTTTTTAAAAAAAAAAATCAGAAATTTATGCCTTTAATTTATTTCTTTGCCTGTAGCAAAAAAGAGAGTTTAAAAACATTTTTATAATATTAAAATAATAATATATTAATTGAATACATAGGGAGGTCAAGTTGTTTGCGATAAGATCGAGCCCAACTTGCGTACTTACAACGCAGTTTCGCAAAATGACGTGTATCCAACTCATGTTTCACACGGCCGTGGTGCCCAAGTAAGAATTCGTTGTCTTTACCTAATTGTCTGGCTAATTCCTTTAATTCGCAACATACTTTTCTAAATGTTACTATTAAAAAAGATGTCGACTTAACACGTGGACGTATCTAATCCGTTCAACGTCCCACACTTTCTTATATCTCGACCGTTCATCCATGTCAAATACCCTATATAATTGAGGCTTTGTCCGGGTAGAGCCTCTCATTCTAATTAATTCATCTTATCTTTTCCTCCTTGCCGTATGGTTTTTGCTCGTTCGATTTTCGCATCGATGTCGTATTTCCTTTCTGGGATTCTGTCTTCGGATCCGCTCGCATCGGCCCAACAGCTCTTTGTATATTGTCTTACGATGAAAGGAGCGACGCTGTTGGATCTATGCCTTTAAAGGCCTTTGCTGCTGGCAAGGAAGCAAATATTAAATTGAAGGACTCCAGCGCTTCTGGCGGCCTTTGCACGTTGTTAATGTTTTATTATTTTAATTTTGTAGGGACGGTTTCATCAGCGGCTGAGTTTTGGTGGAGCATACCGTTTTTGGATGTAAGGTGGTGATTAACGAGGCATCTGATGTTTTGAGCCGGCGATGTGGCATTGACTGGGTTGTTTTTGAAAGGATGTGTAAGATGTCAGGGCAAAAGGTCCTACTGATGATATTTATTTGTTAGGGGACTGAGTCCCGATCTATCTTTGTCGTCCAAGACCTTTGCCATGGCGGGTGCGCTTGCATGGCAGGTCACCTGAACTTAATAAAATTTGTCTTTTTGGGTGTCTTCGAGGGGAGATCGCACGGGGTTTGCCCGGGTTCTCCCCTCTGCTGCGGTGTCGTATCGTGTCTCCTGCACTTGTGTTCCTTTTTCTCTTTCCCTTGCTCGCTTTCCATTTTTACATCATACGGCATGGACGCTTGATCCAACACCACCATCAACGTCAGAATAAGCTCATGAACTTCCAAGCCAAACTACTAGGTTATCTCTCGGCCAAGGTATTATTTTACATATTTTAATCCCACTCCGCCTTATCTAATTTACTTCAAAATTTAATTTTATTCTGCAAGTAGATTTACCATTAACATAGATAACATGAAACGGTAACAAATACTAGTTTTTAACATATTAAGGGGTTTAATGAGATTGAATGGTGAAGGGTACACATGCATGGTTTTTAAATTGTTCATCACCCTTCAATCTTTGTTTTCTAAAATTACGCGGCCCTGAATTATTGATTTTCTTTCATAATTTTTTTCGTAGAGAATATTATTTTTAAATAAGCTGTCTAATTTTAGATTATTTGATTTTGGTAATGTTTTATCCCATCTTAGCAAGTATAATAGTAAAAACATAAATTGAAATGTTCTTTTTTAAATTTAATATATTTTCTTTTATTAAACCTGCTTAACGTGAAAGTCCAATTTAAAGCATTATTACGGGAGCTAATTGAAATAATTGTATGAAAAATTAAATTGAGTTAAACCTGCGGATGTTAAGTTCTTATTTAGTAGATCTTAACTGTATATTATTGTTCTATAAAATCAATTATTATATTTTAATATGTTTAAAATGATGGTATAAGTTCATTGAGGATACACTGGCTATGATCTCCATTTTTATCTCAGAGAAGTTACTCTCAACGTAATTGAAGCTTTTAAGGTTCGATCTGCCAACTTCACAGTTCATTGAATTTTCAATTTTTTCAGTCTGAATTCCATTTCTTTCTTTTCGTTTGTTATTTACATTTCACTTTTATTAGCCAAGTGCGTTCCCTAGTATTTCAGTATTCTTTTTCTAGTGCGTATTGGAACTGTATACTATGATAGGAGTTTTGTATGTAAGTTGATGCAGCATATGTATTTGCTTGTATGTAGCATTTTGTTGTTGTTTTGGTCCTTGTACGGGTTTCTGATTTCATCAGCTTGAAAGCAAGTGTTCCTTCACTCTCTGAACAAGATTCCGATGGATTATGTCACAGCAGCTGGTGTAATGATGTTGGGAGGTATTTTTGGATTTACACTATTCCATCATGTTACATGTTGCATGTCTAATCTTTTATAGAGAAACTGGCAATCAAGGCATGTGGGATGAAGTGTTTGTTGGGTATGGATTGGTCACGGCACGTAAGGATGTTGGGAGGTATTTCGTATTTACATTATTCCATCATGTTGCTTCTTCTCTTCTTTTTCATAGAAACTGGAAATTAAGGAGTTTGTGGGTCGCAGCAGTGAGCGTAATGTTGTAAATCCAGAAATACCTCAACACACTTACATGTTGAAAGTTGAAATCGAAAGATGCATGGTCAAAAGTTAAAGTTTGATACCGAATATGCATTAGTCAATTTTAGTGCAGTTTTTGTTGGACTAATGCATGTTAGGTGTCAAACTTTGACTTTTGACTATGCATCATTCGGGGTCAACTTTCAACACGTGGTGTTGGAGGTATTTTTGGATTTATACTTTTCCAATCATGTTCCGTATTGTGTATCTTCTAATTCTTGATAGAAACCAGAAATCAAGCTATGCTGGATGAGGTCTACCTCTGCAGAACTTGGTTGTTGCAGCGAGTATAATGAAGTTGGGAGGTATTTGGGATTAAAGGTTCTTCCCATAAAGATGCTAGGAGGTATTTCTAAATTTACAATATGCCATCATGTTCCATGGGTCTTCCCTTTTGAGTAACACAGGGAATCAAGGTATCTGCGGTGAAGTGTTTGTGTATATAGCTTGGTTGACATTCAGGGTTTATGCTGGAAGTCATTTGGAGACTTGGAATTGAGCTGTGGAGGCATTCAATGCAGAGTGGCAGGTAAAATTCTGTGAAGATTTTCCATACAGATGCAATTGTTGAAGCGTTGAAGTCATTATGCAGTGATGTAGTGAGATTAGTTTTGAGGAGCTTCTGTTGTGGAAGATTGATCGAATTCTGAAAGAGGTACATGCACACCGTGTAAACCAGTTCCTTTTACATAGTGAAGATTTTCAGTGGACTACGGTCCCGTGGTTTTTCCCCTTAATTATCAAGGGGTTTTCCACGTTAACTGTGGTGTTTCTTTTTTTGTTTTGTTTTTGTTTTCATGTTTCTGGCTTTTATGTTGCTCATTATCTTGTCGACAAACATTTCAAAGCCTACTTAAATTCTTCGTTTGCTGTTTTGATAAGTGCATATAGAAGGTATGGTCATGTGCCACTTTATACTCCCAGTGAATTACCTTTACTTGAACAGTGAGGCAACTTGGTGCAGGAATTGGATCTCTTAAAGGCCGGAAGGTTTTATATTTTGAATTTTTAGATTAATTTATAATGAGAGTTTTATTTTATATTTCATACATCATATTTCTTTTTCCCACTCCCCGTATAGCTTGCATTTTCATTTGCAGCGTTAATATGAACTAATTAATTAGCCGATTATTTTGAAGTCCTCTCTATATATCATTTTCCCCCATTAAACTGATCTTTTTACGAATCAAAAACCAAAACAAGGAACAAAGTATATGTTCACGCATTTATTGAAGACAGTAAGGCCGGTGATATTAAGGGGAAAACGACGGTATACAACATATATGGACAAGGTAAAAAAAAATCTCATTTTTGGTGGGAAGGATTTATCAAGTGGACTTTATAATTACTACTAGAATTCAAGTGCGGTGTATAGTTTATTCCGTGTGGCGCAAATAAAGGAACAAAAATATGAAATTCATGCGCGTTAATTTGCATGTGTCCAGGAAGATCTGTAAGCTCAAAATGGCAGAGCGCTCAATCCCAACTAGAGGTTTTGAGAGGTTGGTGGTTCGAATCCATCCAGATCTGCTCTTTCTCTCCCTACATTAGTTTCAGGGTTTTATTAAGTAGTATATATTAAGTAGTACTTAATCTTATTGTTGTGAAATTTGGGATTTAGGATGACTTGCGTTATTCATTAAAAGATTGTAAGGAGCTTTTTTTTAATAAAATTCCATATAATGCTTGAATAAAAAGGTTAAGATCAACTGATGGTACAATTTTATAATTTTTGATTGGTTGTTGTATAGACTCTTATAATAAAAAAAAGTTAAGATCCTCTAATGATACAAATTTATATAAAATTTAATATATTTTCATAAAATGTGGTATTTTACTAGTATAATTAGCGTGACATAATTTTATTTTCTAAAAATTGCGATGTCATGTGAATATTTCAAAACATAATAAGTCTGGAAATAGGAAAAAGAGATAACACTTATGTACGTATAAAATTGTCGCTGAAAAACTCATCTATCAAAAGTCAGATGTGAGATCTAAATCGTTTTGAATTAATTAAGCGAAATCGGGCAACTAAAAAATTTGCAAGACAGCTGGCTTCTTTGGGGGTTAGTCGAAAGATGATCGTTAATCTTTAAAATAAGGGAAAGTAGTCCTATGGGAAGAAAGAGAACGGATATATGAACAATTGTTTTCGTGAGTTATCTAATTAACCCAACCAAAAGGCATGGCGTTATATTAGTATTAATTACATTATAATTTTTTTATATAATATATTATGAAACAAATGAATATGAATCAAATATAAAAATTTTAATATAATGTCAACTATAGCTAAATTGTATCTATTAAGAATTACGATTAAGTTCGAACAATGTTATTATTATTATTTTAATATTAGATTTGTATCGTTTTTATTATTTTAATGATAAAATTTCAAAATATTTAAAAATAATTAAATGATTAAAATAAAAAAGCGATAATGATAAGGTATAATAAATAATTCCCAATTATATGTCTGGATTTAAACATTGGGTAAATTATGCATTTGGTACTTAAAGTTTGACTTTAGGTATAATGATTATTGCGAATTACGAATATCTGGTGAAGTTCTCTCTCTCTTGGTTATTTCACTATTGAAGTACGCGATAACGTTAACTAATCCAAATTCCTTCGCAATAATCGACGTGGCTCCGAATTTCGTTAAAATCAGCCAGTGGAGAAGCACCAGGAGCTTATATGCGGCGTTTTTGCAGGTTCCGATCTCTCAACTTGTTCTTGCTTTAGCTTGTGATTAGTTTGAATTTCTCTGCCTGGATCGTTTGAACCTCGTTTTCGTTTCCTGCAACCTTGTTCGGTATTATACCTACTCGATTCTTCTTGAATTCGTACTTATTGTACTTTTTTTGACTTTTCTTTTTTCCCTTTCATTTTTTTCTTACCTTTTTAACAGTCTTGTGCAGTAGAGCTGAGAACGTTAGCAATTTCATAGATGCGGAATCAATTTTTGGTCCGTAAATTTCTTTCATTTTCTATTTTTTCCCATTGTTCTTGGAAGACTTGACATCGATCTATTTCCATTAACATTCTCCTCTTGATTAGAACTTTTGTTTGAATCTTGTCAATAACTGCTATAGCTTTAGTACGAGAATTCTGTTTAATTGTTTCATAATTCTCACTTGCAGGATAGTCGCCTTGTCTACAAGCATTTTGCTACTCTTTACTTTGTGTTTGTGTTTGATACTTGATAGTTCTCAGAATGAGCTAGGCGTGCTTGACTTGATACAAGGTATCTTGGGAAATTTCATTTTAGAATTTACCTATAATGGACTAATCAATCTATAAAATGTGGTTCTCGTTAGTTATAGCCCTTTCCAGATCAAGATTTGAACTTAGTCAGTATTTGGAGATGTTTCAATAGTCAATACTTAAATGTTGCATTATTGATATAATGCTTTGTAATCATTATAAACATGCTTTGTAATGATCTTGTAATCATTATAAGTTGAATTTTGTTTGGATTTTGGAAGCACCTTTTTATGGAATAGATTTTGTTATCTGAGCATTTAATAATGAACATTGATTTTTGTGTGCTGGAATCAGCTATAAGCCTATAACTGTTGTTTTGTCAGCCTGACTTTGTTGCATTACCTCGGTTGTCTTTTAAGTGGAAAAGTTCGATTGTCATTCATCTTTTCTGTATGAACTATGGTATTGTTTTTAAACTGTAAGATTCAATGGATTCTTGGCTCTAAAATCGCTGTTTCTTTTTTCTGACCAGAACAAATTAGCAGGTTTGTCATACATTTCCTTACAGAGTAGAAAGCTATAAACAATAATTATTGATTTTTTTGAAATGATCATTTTACTTTCTTTCGATATGATGCCTTCAGTTTTTGTGGAAACGTTGGACAAATGCTTCCAGGATGTTTGCCAGCTTGACATTGTGTTAAATTACAGCAAGGTTGTATCTCTCATCACTAATATCTTCATCTATTGAGTGCTGAACATAAAGTTCATCTTTATTTATAGTTTGGTTCTTTGAAATGCAAGAGGATGGCACAGCTAATTTTACCAATAATGATATTGTTGCAAAACATTTATGGGGTATGCCTTGGGTTCCTAACTTAGTTGACGATAGGGAAAACCTTCTTGTGGTTCCAAAAAGTCCAATTATCATGGAGCTTGCCTAGAGTAACTTTAGAAAGTTAGCTTTGCCTAAGTTACCTAGTATTTTGACTCGATCACCATGTAGCTTGCTGAGTGTAACTTTTGAAGTTAGCCTTTCCCTAGTTGGTATTTTGATTTGGTAGCTCATATAGTTCTTGTTATAGTCAATATAAAGTTTCTAGTTAAGATGAGCATTATTGCCTTTTATGCAATGCTAACCAAGGAATGGCTTTTGAATAAGCTCAATTAGACACTTCTTACGACTTCATTTCAATTTCCTATCCGTGCCTTCAAAAATGATATGAAGTCCCTATAATGCCTCCTTATGATAAGATTCTGATTTAGATCTACTTTGCTAAGTCATTTTTGTTCCTCACCGACATCGACCTCATCAATGTCTTCGTTTTATTCAAATCTCCGATGACACTTTGCAGGTACACACTATCCCGGACGCAGAGGCGGATGCACTAAGATCTCATAGAGGACAAGTGCATCCTATTATTTTTGAAAAAGTTGTTAAATTTAATTTAATGAGTTAAGAAAAAAAGAAAAAAAATTTAAATTTTTGCATACCCATTAATTTTAAGAAAATAAAATTAAAATTTTGGAACCCTATTCTTAAATTTCTAGTTCCGCCAGTGCGTGGAGATGCTTTTTGGAGTGGTGGAAACAAGTTCATCAGAAATTATGGAAGCAGTTGAAGAGATTTCAAAGTTCTTTCTCTATCCTTGCGTCCTTTTTCTTGTGTGTAAAGCATGTACATGATGCCAGTTTTTCCACTTTTGCAGTGTATTTTATTCTTATTAACAGATGAACTGTAACCATGATGTAGGTTAGAAGCTGCCTCAAATGCCATCACACTCGTTCCAAAATCTGCTTCTGGTTGGCCAAGTAGGTATTTTTAACATTCAAATGCTGTTAAAATTGGTTGTTGAACTATTTACCGTCACTGTGAGTTGTTAAGTCATAATAACATTACTCTCTCTAATCGATAATTTGTTCAAATAAAAAAATATCAAAGACGAAACATCTTGGGAGAATATCAATCCTTCGAAAACCTTCATCACTGATAATTCATTTTTTTATAAGATTCTATCAAATCGACCTATCAAATATATATATAAAATTTATTACCTGTTGCTGGCTACTGGCTGCTGCCATGCATGTTGAAGAAACAGGGACGTGACTTCCAATCGACAAGTTTCTTAATCGTCCTAAAAGAGTTCCAGAAGAATACTGTTGCTTGCATCAGCAAAAGACCGACTGATTCCAAAGCCCACTGTTCTGTTTCTCTTTCTCTGACGTCAATTATCATACAGGGGTGTTCATGGTGATATAATATTAATTAATCGTGACAATTGAATATATATATATTTGATTAACTTGACCCGAATCCGATTATCCGTAACGATTTACTTGAACCGAGACTTGAAATAGACCCAAACATGATGATTCAAGTTTGACCCGAAAATCAAAAAAATTGAGCCGAACCGAAACCGATCCGAATTTAGTCAAAACGAAAGTAACCCGAAATGAAAACATCCCGAACTAAAAATAATCCAAACCAAGAATAACTCGAATTTAATTTATCTAAAATAGCTCTGAACCAAACATTGACCCGTTTTAACCCAATAATTGAATATAAATGTATAAACATATTAAAATAACTTATTAAATTGATTTTCAATTTATTTAAATCAAATTATGAATTATTAATGAGTTAATTGCATTATATGTCACCAATCTATGACTCTCATTTCAAATTACTCCCTAAACATTTAAATATTTCAATTTCATCCTTAAACTATACCTATTATTCTAGATTAGTCCTCAAACTTTTAAACATTTCATTTTCATCCCAAGCTATGATCTTCATCCTAAATTGGTCCCCAAACTTTTTGAATATTTCAATTTTATCCTAAATTATTCATATATACTAATCACCAATGTTTTTAAAACCGGACTGGACATTAAACCGGTGAAGGAATTGGTTCACTGGTTCAATCGGGTTAAACCGTAGTTGAACCAGATTATAAAATAATAATATTTTTTAAAAAAAAGTTTACATAATATTCAAAGCAATATATATATATATAACACTCTTTAAGTTCACAATATCAAAAGGTATAAAAATATCATAAGTCATAACATATATAAGTTAAATATCATAATATCAAGTGAAACAAAATGATTCAAATCAACTACAACATAATATTTAAGGTCAATACCTAATGAAATTCATCAACAACTAAATAAAAAAAGTACATAATTGATACAAGTATCAATCATCATAATATTCATTGAAATTGATTCCCTCAAATTCCAAAATATTGAGAAAAGCTTCTTCATTAGTTGAACTACCACCACCATCACCGCTTTGAACTTGAAACTCCATAGCATCACTTTGAACTTGAAAGTTCACAACATCAAGTCTTCATCACCTAGCAATATGATAAATAAATACAAAGTTAAATTTAAATTCCCAAATAATACTTAACAATTAAAAGTAAAAGTGTAAAACATATTAAATAATAAATATAATTATATAACTAAAATAAAGAAGTAAAGATTAACCTTCATTGTTTTTTATGATAATTATATAACTAAAATAAAATTGGGGCTGAAAAAAATTATAACAAACGACGTCGTTTTGTTTAATTTTTTTAAAAAAAAAACAGAACCACCGGTTCACACTGGTTTTGCCGGTTCCCAACCGGTTCTTTAGCGGTTCATTACAAAACTGGTTTTGGAGGCTGACCAGACCGAACAAGCAATCGGTTCCCGGTTCAACAGGTCTAACTGGCCGGTTCGATCCGGTTTTGATAACATTGCTAATCACATCTCTTGTTAATATAATCATTAGACAAGTTATATTATTATATGTTTGAAAAAAATTAAAATTTAGGTTAAACTATTGGTGAAATGAATTACATATTTGGATCAATTTGGGGATGAAATTGAAATATTTAAAAGTTTAGGGACCAATTTAGAATGAGATTCATAGTTTGGGGATGAAATTCGAATGTCCAACAGTTTAAGGACTAATTTAAAATGATAATTGAATTTGAATGAAATTGAACAAAAATGATAAGATATAAAGAAAAGACACATTTTTACAAAAAAAAAATATCAATAATTCTGTATATACTTAATTTGACTTATACTCGACTCAACTTGAATTGATTTGAAGATCCAAAGTTGACCCAAACCAAAAATAATTAATCAGATATTAATTCGGCCCAAAAATCAACCGATCCAATTTAATCCGATCTGAAATTAACCAATCCGATATTGACACAACCCAATACCCGAACCGACTTGACTTTTGTTTTGAAAGGGAGAGTTTTGTATTTGATAATGATTATAAATATAAAACAAAAAATAAACATGACTCTCGCTAAAAAAATCTCCCTACACTTAATTGGAGGAAAACACGTAAATGTCGGGAAAAGGATCAGCAACCAAATACAATCACATTGGTCTTAACTAACATACGGAACAACCCTTAGACCAAAAACGACGAAACGAATACTTAACCAACTGTGCACCATTTCGAAAAACATAACGAACTACTGCCCATCGCCCATTGAATGCAGTTCCCAAACTCATCCTTTTATAGGCTTCAGCAAATCTGTAGAGAACGACACACTAATGCCAGGAAAGGTTGCCACGAGAATAGACGAGCAAAAGACCTCACTAAAGCACATAAAATCTCCACTCACAAATGGCCTCAGCATACTTTCCAGAACAAGCCTAAGCTCAAATAACTTCACCCCCATTGACACCACAACAAACATATTATACCATAGAAGCCACATCAACTAATCATACAAACGACCAGGCAGCATAACCCTTCTTACCATCGCCAGAACAAAGAAAACACAAAGGCAAAATCATAACAGAACGAGTAGACCCAGATCAGACCAAGGGGAACAATCAGGCTCGTATATAGACTACACAGAGTAAATATGCAGCAAGACAACAATCACACACAAACAATACAGACCTCAGCCCTTCACCACAACATTTATGGGAGATCGAAGGAAATCAAGGATATATGGACAGCAAGTGGGCCATTTGTTCTTGCACCAAAATCCCACCCTCAACAACCCTTATCGAACACTCGGTCTTTAATGAAACTTTTATGAATGAAGAAGGCTTCATACCCGCAAGATCTAAATTAGCAATCGACTTGTGAGTTCCAAAATGACATCTCGCTCATCCCCTTTAAAATGAATACCAAGCTTCTATCCAAGTGGCCAAACTCTCTCAGCTTCCATGATGATTAATTTTTCCAGTTATTAATATCCGAATCAGACCAAGAACTATCACCCAAATCGCGTGAATCAAACCGTTCCTTAGACCTTATTTTCTTTAGAGCTTTATCCTTCTTTTTTTCCTATCGGCTGTCGATAAAGACTTGTACTGAATTTTCCCAATGATTTATATTTTTTCTTCGGATCAATCTTGGAAGAAATCTTCCCGACAGACTCCGAAACAATCTGATCAGACTCAAATTCCACCTGCCTCAACCCTATATTACTAACCTCCTGTAAAGCTTGCCTAGCTCCCGTACTTAATAAAACCTCAACCGCAACTTGAACGATACCTGGCCCAACTAATTTAATATGAATATTTCCCTCTGCCGTTGTTTCCTTTGCAAAGGAGAAAGGACCCAACAATGGACACACTTCACGTGAAACAATGTCTGCAGCTCTCTCCCTCAAAACCATGTTGCAAGGAGAAATATTAATGCTAAGGGACCCACTTACATTATTAACAGAGCCCCCATAAAAAGCTGCATCATTATGTGCCCCATGCGTTAAGGGGCTGCAGCTTTCACAATGCAAAATTCTACCAAGATTGCCCTCTCGTCTGCCTCAACCATGGAGACTCCAGGAAACTCAGTTACTACCTGACGATTCAACTCCAACAAAGGGGGATGACATCCTCACAGACGCAGCTCGAAGAAATATCTCCCATAGTTGGCGACGTCGTGCCATTAGCTCCGTGAACAAGCGGGGAAAAAGCTGCATCATTATCCTCCACCGCCGACGGCTCCTCCCAAACTGAAACCGGATCAAAACACGGTTCAAACTCAGATACACTAATAGAAAACAACCAGTTCCCCACTTTCAACTCAATACAATCTTCGATTCGAGCTTGACACTCAGTTATAATTTGAAACAACGCCCTGTCAAATGAACCAGGGTTCAAAGTCTTCTCGTCAATGGAGATAAGCTCACCCCACTTCCCAGCAATGCTTCGAAATGTCCATTGGCTCCACGCCATTGGAGGAATCCCTTTACACGAGAGCCACGCACGGCGACTTCTACATTGAAGCTTTTCAGACCAAGCCTCCACCTTCTCAAAACATTTTTCCAATGCACAGATTTGGTTTGTTAAAGCCTCATCCCTTCTTGCTTCATCTTCAAAGATGATTGATACTGCCAACCCACTCAACCTCATAATCCTCGGGCCTATAATACCTTCTTTGTGCATTTTAATCGCTAACTCTTTATCCTCAAGAAGTTTTTGCACCAACCTACAATGCAATCTTTAAGGACCACTAGTTTATCCTCGTCAATGGAGCCTTCAACCGGGGGCTTCAAGCAAGAATAATCCATCCTCATGTTTCTGGTTATGGGATGTTGTAGGCCAATGGATTTATTTCTCTAAACCGATCCGACTTACTATATACTCAAATAAAACTGAAACCCAAAATAAACCCATCCGACTTGAACTCAACCCTACTTATCATTGATCGGAATAAAATTAAAATATAAAATTAACTGACTATCCCAAACCTGACCCGAATTAAGTCTAAACCTAAATGATCCCAACCGAATTCGATCCGAATGGCACATGGCAAAATCTAACCGGAAATCTGGTGATGATTGTCATGTCTCATGTCTAAAGAAAGAAGGAGTCTGACGTCTGTCGCGCTTTATTTTGGCAGACCAAATAGGACAAAGGCCAAGGTGGAAATTGTAATTTACACTTTAAAATTGCAAAGCTGACCATAATCGGGGATGACCAGTCAACAAATTCTGAAAACGGGAATAATAAAACGGAATGTCGGAAGCTTTCAGTAAGATTAAAATTTATTGATGTTTGTTAAGGTAATTGACACCCAATACATATGTTAGTTAATCGAATATAGTCACTGGTATTTTTAGTATTAGTGAGTTTTTGTACCAGGCTTAGATCTTCTTGCGTATTTCCTAGTCAAAGTGGCAGTGGATCGTCCTCCTTGTAAATAACAACCATCCCTATCCCAACGCATTCTGTGCCTTTTTCTTTTAAGTTTCGCATTTTCCTTTTTTTTTTCAAACAAAAATTAAGATTACATGGGGAGTAAGTTTTAATTAATTATTATAATATTTTTTATACAAAAGATGTAGTGATCTAGAAACAAAATAAAAGCTAATCTATTGCATGTGAACCATGTTCAGTAATGACAAAAAGACGATGATAGGTAGATTATAAAACTGTTCATGGTTGCATCTCGACTTGTTTTTTCTTCACGTCTTTTGTTCAAGTATATAAAATTATTTTTATATACTTATGTATGCTATAACCTTATTTAAAATTCTTTATCCAGTGTTACCAGACCAAGCTTAGGCAAGTTTAGCTGCTTTGGATAATGGAGGGATTAATGGTTTTGATGTTCAAGGTTCTTTACTTCCTTTTTTTTTCTAGACGAAGAACAAGAACATAATCTATTAACACCTCTCTTTTTTTTCCCTTTTAATGTATTAAGTTTTCCAAGATCTTGTTGTCTTGGAATAATTCCACTTATTTTATTTTTGGGTGTATACGAATTATGCTCATTCTGTCCATTTGCATTTGACGACAAGGTGGACTGCAGGAGCTGACTGGTATTTTGCCATTTTATTAGCTTTATAGAGCTACGACAACAACTCTTGTCATTCTCACTCTCGTATGTACCATTAACCTCTCTTACTTCAATTATTCAAACACTATATTATTGAACTTCCCTCTCCGTTTTCACTGTTTGACTAGCTCGATAGTACGGCACTGCCATTCCCCTTTAAGTACTATAAACTCACATTCCCCTCTCTTTTACAATTGCACTATCCTTCCTTTTCTCTTATGTTTTCTCTCATTTGCAGTTTTTGGTTGATTTCGTCAACATTCTGAACGATGAAAGGGTGACATATAATCATAGGGAACGGAAAAAATTGTGAAATGATGCACAGGTGCAGTAATTCTCAGGGAAACATGGCTTTCGGTTTATGTTCATGTGGTGTGTTTCATCATAGCCAAAGCAACTCCTTCTCGGTGCCTTTTTCCATGCCGAACCACAAATATTTCGATGAAACAGACATGCACCGTTTCACGTCCCCTTCATCGTCTTCTTCCGTCGATTGCACTCTCTCGTTGGGAACTCCATCTACTCGGCTTTGCGAAAACAACGGCAACAAGCGTTTCCGCCATGAGCGTCACTCTTCTAGCTTCTGTTTGCAGGACAAGAACATACACTGTTCGCAGCAAAGTGCAAAAGGTAGCCGTGGAAGCAATGGGAATAGCAGTAGCATCTCGGGCAATGATGCTCTCTTAGCTCGCCGTTGTGCTAATTGTGACACCACTTCTACACCACTTTGGAGGAACGGTCCAAGAGGTCCAAAGGTATATAGAGATATTACAATTAAACACTTGTTTCATTAAAAACAAGCACAGTTTCAATGAATCTTCATGGTTCTCTTTTGTTTAATTGTAGTCACTTTGCAATGCTTGTGGAATTCGATTCAAGAAAGAAGAAAGAAGAGCAGCAAAAGCCAGCAACTCATTAGGTGCAGCGGCTTCAATGTATTCATGGGTTCATCATCCGCAAAACCAGAAAATGCCATGTTTCTCGTCGCCCGTCAATGTATTCTGGTTCATTTGATTGAGATTCTGATACTGGGCATTCCCTTTTCTTTCTTGGCCAACAAGCCTTGCCCACGACTTTAGAAGATAAGATTCATAAGAAGACAATAAAAGAAGAAGAAAAGAAACCCTAGCACCTCATTGACTGTCAAGATCATGCAGGCAATGACTGGAACGTTTCACAATAAGGATGTTGTCGATGTCTATATGGTCTTAGTTTCGCATCGTCAAACTTAAGCACTGTTCGTTTACTGTTTTTCCTGATGTAACGTGTTAGCTTATATATGAAAACGAGACGGTGCTTTTCTTTCTTTTCATGCTATATGAACTGGAGTTTATTTTAATTATCCAAGACCCTGGAATCTGAAGTAACTTCTTGCTGCTCTCCGAATTTCCAACTGAAGAAACAGAGGAAAGAAAAAAATGGGTTTTCATGGCTGATTTTTTCAGATAATTCTATTGAGAATTTTATTTCGTAAAATAATGTACTCTCGGAATTATTTCTTCAAATAGGGTGATTACTACAGTACACGCCGAAGACGCATTGCACTCCATGTGTCTCTCTCATTTCCCCCGAAAACGCATTGCACTCCTTGCATCTCTCCCTTGCATGCACAACCCTTCATTCGCCAGTGACACCGCCCCTGCATGGTAGTCTGCATGCGTCCGTGACACTGTCCCTACATGGCAGTCTGCATGCATCAATAACAACATCAATAATAGCAGCAATAATGCTGCAATCATGGGTTGGTTGGATTAGTTGGGTAATAATGGGGTTGAGTTGTTATTATATAGGGGAGTGTATGGGAGGGAAGGGACACCGGGGAGAAGAAAGAAAAACATGAGAAAGAAAAAAGAACAGAAAAGAGGAAGGAAGAATAATAGAAGAAAATAATCAAGTAAATTAATTTTTTTTATTTTTTTTGTTGACGTTTTAATATCTTACTGAGTTTAGATTAAATTAGTTTCGTTTATAATAATATTTATATTAAATTGTTAATATTATTAAAATTATTTTTTTTACAGATTCGTTGAAATGACAGAACAAAATCAACTAATTAATCTTGATGCTCAACCTATTTCTAGCCATTTGGTAGTGATGGTGTTATTATTATTTAATAAATATTATTATTTGAGATAAAAATATTATTAGTAAATGGTAGAAGTTTATTTTATGATTAATCATGAATATTATAATTATAGGAAGACGAGCAGTGACTCCTCCATCATTGGATCAATATTCTTACTTAGCCACACACTTTGATTGAAGATCACCTGGAAGAGGTTGAATTTTATTATGTTACATTTGTTTGGGAGTAAAAGTTGGTCTCGGTTTTAATAAGTGCATTGATTGAACGTTGGAGGTCAGAAACACATACATTTCATTTTTTGTGCGGAGAATGCACGATAACCCTAGAAGATGTGGGCTTCCAACTTGGGGTTCCAAAAAATAGGATACTGGTGGTGATGAGAAATGATTACAATACCGTGGAAACACTTTGCAATGAGTTTCTAGGGCAGACGACAGTAAGCTCATATTTAAAAGGGTGGCGTTTGAAGCTGTCGTGGTTGGATGATCAATTTCAACTCCAAGAAAATAGTACCCAAGAAGAAATTGTATATGCAACTCGAGCATATATCTTGCAGTTGATTGGGGGAGTTTTGATGCCGGATAAATTCGATAATGTGGTTCACAAGCAGTAATCAAGTAATGCCGGATAAATTCGGTAATGGAGGTATATGTGGCATGTCTGGGAATTCTAGTGCCCTCATCACATCATAGTCTATCTCGTACATGTGAGGGGTAGGTTGATATGGTGTCAGAACTTCATCAGTGGCCAGCTTAGGTGCACCACCACGGCCAAAATTATCATCGTCGGCCAAAACCGGTTCCTTAGTTTCTTCGTCTTCGCTAGAATCATCACGGTCAAAATTATCAACATCAACAGTCAATTCTGAGTTATATATGTTTCTCCCCTTGTACTCTGTTGATGCGGATGTTCCATCGACTTCATTTCCACTTTCCAATATCGCCATAAAATTGTTTATCGAACTGTATGTCGGGTCTTCAAACTCGCTTCTGAAAGCCATTTGAGATGAATCTCCAACCACATTTCTTGATGACCCAGGAACATCATATATCTTACGTACATCAACAAATAACTCAATAACTGAAATATTTGTTGAATCATGTAACCCAATCATGGTTCCAATAACATCTTCATCTTCAACTGGTACTACAGCATATCTAATTGAATTGGGACATACCATGAACCTATACCTCAAACCATCAAATGTATCTCGGATTTTCCTTTCTATCCTTTGCTTCATTTATACAAATGTGATGCCCCTTTTAAACATCATATTTATAGGTCTTTCAGACTGAAAAACAACTCCAGCCTCATTTTGCATAATATGTCCATTATAATGGACAATACTAAAAAAATTGTTGATAATTTTCTCTACAAATTCAAAATTTGTATTTAGAATAGCAAAATTATGATACACTATGATCATAAATCGTAAAATTGATATTATACAATATAAAAATAATATTAACATAACAACAATTGTAAAAATAATAAATATTTATAAAAAATAATATTAACATAATAATCAATAGTCAAATATCTCAAATAAAATTTTGGAAGAAAACTAACCAGGTTAAATTTGTCGAATAATGTAGTATGAACCAACTTTAACTTTATTCTTTTCTTCTTCTTTCTTTCTCTTTTCTTTTCTTTCTTCCTCTTTTCTCTTCTTCCTTTCTTTCTTCCTTCTCCTGTTTTTATTTCTTCTCCCCGATGCCCCTTCCCTCCCATACACTCCCCTATATAATAACAACCCAACCCCATTATTACTCAACCAACCCAACCAACCTGTGATTGGAGCATTATTACTGCTATTATTGCAGCTGTTATTGCTGCATGCAGACTGCCATGCAGGGGTGGTGTCACGGGCGAGGGGGAGTGCATGTAGGAGGGAGATGCATGGAGTGCAATGCATCTTTAAGGGGAGGAGAGAGACGCATGGAGTGCAATGCGTCTTCGGGGGGAAAGGGGAGAGACGTATGGAGTGCAATGCGTCTTTGGTGTGTACTATAACAATCACCCCATTTAAAAAAAATAAATCCGATAATATATTATTTTACGAAATAAAATTCTCAGCAGCATTATCTGTAAAAAATCAGCTGGGCTTTCATCTGTCATCGGAGACTTATCCAATATTTAATAAATATTGCATTTTTCTTTTCAAACTTTACTTAAATTGATTAAAATATTTGTGAATACGACGGACCAATTACTTTGTGTTTGCATATGCGATTGTTCCCAGTCTGTGAGGACACTGTGCTTCTCAGAACATACGGTAATGCACTTTGTCGTTTTAAGATTTCTGGCCATGTCCAAAACCACTCATTTCTTAGAATCTTGACCTTCAAATTGGCCTCTAATTCACACCTTGGAACACACCAAGTAAACCTCTTCCCAATAAAATTGAAAATTATTTGAATATATAGTGTAAAATGATATGTGAAATTTAATTTAACGTAGTGATGCACTTTTAATATATGTTGAAAATATCTTGAGCCTTTAACTAAATTTAGAAAGTTACCTTTATTAGTAGAATCAAATGAATTATAACGGTTATAAGTAATTCATTCATTTTGATATGAACGAAGAGTTACAATCGGTGATGGATCAATATTTTGTTGGTGCTCAAGTGTTCAGTCTATATAAAAAGATAGAAAAGATGTGAATAAGGATGGCGTGGTTTCATATAGGTTGAATCTCTTTTTCTCGATATTGTTTTAGGCCTTGAGGGATTTTATAGTGATTCTTGGAGCTGTTGCTATGGTAGAGTCATTATGGCTACATGTAAGCTGGCAGGTTAAGTGAATATGATCAATTGAAAGTTAATTTGACTCCGTTAAACATATCAAAAGTAATGTCGGTAATTCCCAATTTCTCAAGAGATTTTAGATATTCAAGATCATTCATTCAAAAACATTTATTTATGTATTTCGAAATTCTCCAAATATCAAAGATTCAAAGATGCTTCTAAAACCCTCTTAAAGATGTGAAGTACAAAAATAATATGCTGAAGACATTTGAACGGATAAAATAACCTATAATCCTTTATTTTTTCCCCCAATAAAACATGTTCGGTACAGATGCTGACGTTAACAATGCCCAAAAATATAAATCATACAAAGAGGCCCAAGAAAAGTCCAAAAACTCAAACCCAAAGGAAAACTTGCCAGCACCAAGATAACCGCTACGGGGGAAGAGGTGTCAGCCCAGGTTCATACGAGCGAAACTGGTTGTATCCTCGGTCCTTGGGGGCACCATTTCCAACTTTATCATCATATCTTTAGCTGCGTATCTCCCAGTCTCAAATTTCGCTCCTTTAAGCCTACCAGACTCATATTAATTACTTAAGAACCTCAGTTTCAAGTGACAATTATTAACATATTGAATCAAGCTAACAATTTACTCGATGACATGATAGGGGATGGTAGTTGAGTAATAAAAATTGCTCGTTGTTGAAGAATCAAACCTAATAATTTAGACTCGATTAAAGAACGAAAGGGGATGTAGAGAAAGAGGGCGGCGACAAAGTTATAGTTTGAGGGAATTAGGGTTTGTTGGAAATCAAAGATAGAAAACAAAATTATGATAATGAAGATTAAATAAAAATAAAAAGAAAAATAAAGATAACAAATATAATAGAATAGGAAAAACTTAGCTAAAATTAGGGATTCGACAAAATTGTTCCTTAGATTTGTGGAGAAAGTAGTGTGAATGATGTTGTATGATGAATATGCGACGATAGTTAATGGATAGCTGTCATGCAAACCCTCCTAATCACAAATGACTAGGAATAAAATAATAATAAATTAAATATGTTTTGATTCTAATTTTTAATCAAATAATAAATATAATCATAAAAGATAGTGTATCATCCTATATTAAATTATATTATAAATGATCAATAAAAATATTATAAATTTGTGATATTTACAAAATCATGTATTAATTACGTATAAGATTTTTTGCATGCGCTATCTTTACTAAAATGAACGTATCTTGAGTTCTTGACATCAAATTAACGTGTTTCAAGTATTGTTGGAAAATTAAGAGACAACCAGTCATATTTCCAGAAGATATGTCGACCAAATAATGTTTGGATCCCATTCAAAATATTGTTGCAAGTATGCTACTATTATGGTATTCTTTTCCAAGGCTTGGACGTGTGGATCAATTGGAAGAGTTAGTCCATCTTCCATTGATGGGATCCTTATGGTGCATGTATCATTCTTCCTCTCTTCAAAAGGATTCGACCTCGAATTTGAAACATCAAAGGGAGCAACATTATAGCTTTTTAAGAATTCAATTATATTATACTTAGAATAGTTATGCTTTGAATCTTCAAGACCTTATTCTTCTAATAGATTCGAGTAGAAATATTAATCCAAGAAACATGCATTATCATTATAGACTCCGGAACAAGTATCATGGCACCCGTTAATTTTTTTCATTTTTGCAAATGGTATTTTCCCAAAGGAAACTTAACTTGCAATATAGAATCGGGCCACACAAATAAAATCTTTAAACGATTATAACATAAGGAGATTAGTTCCATTTTATCTTCCTCCAATTTCTATCCTTTCTATTTCCCCCTTTTTTATCAAATTAAGTCTAAAGGAATACGAGTAATGAAAACAGTGGTAACCACTAACCACTTTCATTTTCATGTTGCTTTCTTGCAAATTGTGCTTTCAAAATCATAATTTTAAAGCTTAGTTCCAAGAAAATATCTTTAGCTTCTCATTCTCAATGTTTAGTGGCTGAAACTGAAGCATATTCAACTTCTCCACAGATGAGATGATAAGTTCATATCCAGAATGCATGGTTTCCTGTCTTTATTATAATTGATCCACCCTTTTGAATTGGGGCCCACTAAGAGCTAAGGTCAGTAATTGCAATCATAGACCTTAATACATTGTGCAGAAGTAGAATTAAAAATGAAGTTGATGGGCGAGTTTTCGATCATTGGTATGTTACTTCAATGAGTTGGCAAGGGACAATAGCCTATAATGGTGGGGTTTTGTTTTTTTATAATACATAGTCCGATTTATTTATTAATTAATTAATTTTAATATTTTAAAGAAGAACGATCCTTTCGATTCTATTTACTCTATTCATTAATGATAAGAATTAAATTTTTACTCTTAGTTAAAAAGTTTAGTGTATCATCTTAATAAACTAACTTATCGTTGGTATAATGGGTTTTGTTAGTGTGATTAACTACTATTCTGCAAAAGTTACTTAGGAGACATACCCACATGAGGTTGGTGAAGGTCCCTCCAACATACCCTATACCCATGCTCTCTTGAGCCCTACCCTACCATTATGGGACAAAACAAAAAAAAAATTCTATGCACGAGAAGTTAAGATAAATGGGTTAATTAGGTCAGATAATTTTCTTTGTGGATTAAAATATAATTTAAGAAACTGTCAATCCTCTCAATCCCGTGGCATTTTCATTAGGAAGCATTTGCATTTATTTGTTATTTAGGAAGAATATAATGAAATTTCTAAGTTATTTTGCAACTTATCTAACAGATGAGAAGTGATTTGCGAGGGTAAGGTGGTTAATAGGCTATCCTTTTAGAGTGTGATTTTTTGGGTATGCTATAAGTTAATTATGGGTTTGATAATAGATGAGTCAATTTTTTTTTAAATTTATAAATATGACAAGAAAGCTATGGGTTTTGAAATGTCGGCGCACGATTGCAGAGTTCTCTCGGTGCACATTAGCTGGACTAATGGGTTCTGAGATTCCCTCAGCGTCTCCGACGTTTTCCCCGTCTTCCCATCGATCCTCCCTCAATCTCCTTTTGTTTCCTCGCTCATAGTGTTTCCTCAATGGATTGGCGTAAGTTGTTCCGATGCTCTTCTAATCATCAACTCCAGTATTTTCCCCCAAACGTGAGAAATGGAGTCCCGACTGTTCATCCTCCTCCTGAAGTGTTCGAAGGTGGGATTTCTGAGTGGAAGCACTCCCTCGTGGGGCAATTTCTGGGTTCTGCGCCAAATTTTACAACTCTTCAGAGGATTATTGACGGCTTATGGAAAAACTCCTTGAAAGGTTCCAATATCCAGGTCCGTTACGTTGGACCCAATCTTTATTTATTTTCCTTCGAATCTGATTTTGCTCATGAATGGGTAATGGAAAACAGGCCTTGGCATATTTACAATAAACCTTTAATTCTCAGACGTGGGAACCTAATATGCAAAAACTTCACTTTGATTTATATCCAGGTCAGTTACGTTGGACCCAATCTTTATTTATTTTCCTTCGAATCTGATTTTGCTCATGAATGGGTAATGGAAAACAGGCCTTGGCATATTTACAATAAACCTTTAATTCTCAGACAGTGGGAACCTAATATGCAAAAACTTCACTTTGATTTATCCAGAATTTCGATTTGGCTCCATTTGTACAATGTCCCTCTTGAACTATTCTATAATGATGGATTGAGTTACATTGCTAGTGGCATAGGTTTCCCTCTGTCTATGGATTCTATCACAGCTTTTAAGACAAGATTGGAATACACTAAGGTCTATGTTGAAATAGGGGCTACTGATACGATTCCTAAGTCTATCGATGTTTCACTTAACAATGGTCTTCAAGCTTCTGTTTCAGTAGATATCCCATGGCTTCCCCCTTGCTGCAAGTCTTGTAACATTTTTTGCCATAATACTAAATCTTGCAAGTTTAATCCCAATTCTTCCACCTCTGGCCAAGTATGGAGGAAAAAGGAATCTCTTCCCACTTCTTCACAGACTAAAGTTTCTCCTACCATTAATCCTTTACTTAACTCTAACGCTGAGGTTTCTACTAGTGCTAAGGTTTTTAACCTTGAGGAAACTGTAGCAGGAAACCATCTTGTCTCTGATCTCTTACCTACTGTTAATGCTTCTTCTTCCCTATCTGCCCACTCAAATTTACCTCCCTTAAGTCCTCCTCAAGAACAAGAAACTGCTGATGTTGATCTTGTTGAACCCAATATTCCACTAGAGTCTTTTATTTGTAATAAAGAGTCAACATCTCCTTTAAAAGGGGTAGAGGTAAACCTCCAAGAGCTAATTCCTCCAAATCATTAGCAGGTTCCACTAACATATTTGAGATTCTGAATTCTTTTGAAGAGGAGCCTAGGATTCAGGGGGAAAAAACCAAGAGTTGTAGCTTCTGGGGTTGCATATTTGATTAAAGAACTCAAAGCTAAAAAGAAATCCCATCTTGACAAAGCTAAAAGTGCAACAGTAGATAGTAAAAAATGTGTAACATCCTGAATCAGGGTCAGTGACTAAATTGCAACTTTTGAAAACTATATGCTCAGTTTCAAAATAAGTTAAAAGTTCAAGGATTTAAATAGAAAAATTTCAGTATTAGATTAAATGGTAATTTTTGGAAAGTTTGAAGGGTATAATGGTAATTCCATAAGAAAATTTTTTATTTCTCCTTTATATAGGAGATGGCACGTGGAAATGGATGAAAAAAATAGAAAAGTCTAGAGGCTTTGGTTCAACCTTCTTCTTCTTCTCTTCCCGTAAGCTCCATGGCAAAGGTAAGTATAATTTCAGTTGTTTAATTCTTGGATTTATAAGTTGGTTTTGATTCTTTGGGTGTTATATAAGCTTAAGGAAAGCTTATATAAGCTTTAAACATCACAAATAGTGAATTAAAGAGGAAATTATATGAAGGGTGTAGAAATGAATTGTTAGAATAAAGAGGTTTTTGAAGTTTTAATTATGAATTTGACTTGTCATCTATGAGAATAAGGAAGCTAGAAGTGTTAGAATTAAGTTTGGGTAACATGGAAAATTTGGTATGATATTGATTTTTATTGGAGAATAGAATTTGAGGTTTAGATGACATAAATGGGTATAAATTAGTTTAAGTATGTATATTTGAGTTAAGAGTATAAAAGGGGTTGAAATATGAAGAATTGAAGTTGGAATAGTGAATTTTCGTAGTTGAAAATGATTTCTGGGCTAGGGGGATCGGTACCCATTCAAAGGGGTACTGATACCCTCTCAAACGAGCAGAATTCCAGAATGTCATGAGGGTATCGATACCCCCTAAAGGAAAATTGAAAATATGGGTTTAATAAGTTTGTTTAAGTTGATAGTATCCAATTGCAAGGTGTAGGTATCTAATAATTACCTTAAAATGTACAGTTATGTAGATTCTGAGCATATGACAATTCCGGAACATTTGGCAAGTAAGATCGATCAGGGGAAAGATTAGAGATCGAGATTGACTAGTGAGGCCAGGTGAGTGCATATTCAATAGTATATGATGTGTGATGGGAATAAGACTTGCGATGAGTCTATTTCCTGAAGTGTTATATATATGAATTCATGATTAAAGGCATGAGTTGAAAATGAGTGTATGTATGCTTGATTATCTGAATTGATATGTTTTGTATGTGCCATGTGGTTTATGTAAAAACATGATTAAGTGTTAATGAGAGAATATAAAATAAGTTATGAAATTATAGAAAATATAGAAGATAAGTCAAGAGATGTAGGGAAATGGAAATAGATGTTTATAAAGAGTCATATGAGAACAAATATAAGTAATATGATAATGAAATATAAGACTGTGAATACATGGTTATGAGATAAAATATGTAATAATAAGAAAATATGATGAAAGTGAGTTTATGAGAAGTGATATGAACTAGGTAAACATGGGTAATAGTATATGCATAATGGAAACATGAGTTGGACAAGTACATAGTGGTATGATTTATTATGAGAATTAGTATAATAGAGCTTTTTGATTTAATGAGAGTTAAGGGAACTAAATAAAATTGAATTATAGAATGAAATGGACATAATATATCAATTAGGAAACTTGAATATAAAGGGACGATACGAATATGCAAGATAAGTTATATGCTAAATATCTATGGAGCTATATGAAAATATTATAATGAATATATGAAATTGAATTAAGTAAAAAGATTAAATTAGTACCTAAATAAAAATACTATTAAAATGATATATGTTTAGAAATACGACATAATTTATATAATCTAAGGGAATACAAAGAAATGGAGTATAAGGTAGATGATATGATATCAGTTATTATATACCTATATGATATATGGCATCAGGTAATATGAAAGAACTCTGAAAATTTATATAAGCTATGAGAAAGTGTTCTAGGTGTTTCTATGTGTTATATGAAGCATATATGATCATATGTGAACAAGATATGATATGTATGTTTATATGAATACCTGAGAAATGATCTAAGCTATATGATATGATATATGTGATTATATGCACTTTGGGATATATGTTATATGACATGGATCTATTGGACTACGTGAGAAAGTATATAAGCTATGTGACATGTAAATGTGAATCATATGGAAATGTTCTATGTGTATATATGAATATGTGAAATGACAATGCCCATGTTAAGTGTCTTGAGAGCTAGAGGTATAGTTGGCATGCCAAGAGTCGAGGGTCTACGCGGTCCTTCGTGACATATATGTATTCCTTGGAACATGTGTGATGTCTTTTGAGACACATGCTTGATCCTTTGTATATATATATGATTCTTAAGGAATTTCTATGTGGTCCTTCGGGACAAATTTCTACGCGGCACTTCGGTGCAAAATTCTACGTGGCACTACGGTGCAATTTATACGAGCTGTGGTGACAGCACTAGTGCACAACCTCTATAGACTCACATATCCATAGTTCTCACATGTGTACATGGGCTAATAAAGAAATAACATCCATCACATTACATGTGACTTGTATGCTTTTGTGCTATGAATGATAGTATATATAATTTATATGATGAGATGTTGATGGTAGGATTAAATGAGTCAATTGTTGGTTAAAATACTAGGTATAAGAGGATATGTATTAAGTGATATTAACGATAATAATATTGATAATGAAATAAGGCTAAAGATGGAAATTATGAGTGATGAATATATGTGTGTATATATGTTCTTACATGAAATGATGTATTGCATAGGTGTTATAGGGATTTGTTACATGAATAAGGGTATGAGTGATAGCAGTAAGTGTTCATGCATGATTACAAGCTATAGTTTATATTACATGTTTATTTGCCTCACCAAGTCATAGACTTAGCATGTGATTGTTTCACACGTAGGTTGCAGAAGTAAGAAGAGTAAAGAGCAAAGTGGAGAAAGACATGTCAGTTACTTCTTACCGAAGATCAAATCAGAAAAGATGTCTTGAATTAGATATATTTTGTATATTGAAAATAGTTGACATGTAATTAATGTTTTGAATTGTATATACTCTGATCGGTTTTGCAAAAACATTTAAGCTCTGAATAGTTCTGAAAATCTTTTGAATAAGTTACATGTATAAAAGTTTTAAATTACTCACCATTTTATACAAGTAAACGTTTTGAAAAGTCATTGTGACACCTCGGACTCGGATCCGGGTCGGGTACGGGTTGGGGGTGTTACAAAAGGGGATTCAGTCACCTCACCCCATATCAATTGATTATTTTTTTTGGAACGTAAGGGGATTAAATAATCCTCTTAAACAAGGAAAAGTCCTTAGAAGAACTACTTAAAATAATACTGATATTCTCTGTTTGCTTGAAACCCGAGTTAAACTGGAAAAATCTGCTGATATACTTGCTTCTAGATTTGAGAACTGGAATGTATTCTGCAATTATGATCATGCCGAGAATTGGAGAATTTGGTTACTCTGGAGGAAGGGGTTAGATATTTCACTATGTCATATATCTTCTCAAAGTATTACTGTAAAGTGTTTATTCAAGAAAGTTCACTTTCTGCTTACTGGGATTTATGGTCACAATGACGGAATTGCAAGAAGAAGCCTCTGGAAGGACCTTAGAAATGTTGAATCTAGGTTTCCTGACTGCCCATGGATCTTGGGAGGGGACTTCAATGTCACTTTGTATCCTAACGAAAGTTCCAATCATGAGCTTTTAGGTTCTTTCTCCTCTTCTGATATGATATAATTCCAAGAGCTTACTCATGACCTTCATGATCATCCTTTTTTTGGCCCTACTTATTCTTGGAGCAACAAACAAATAGATAACTTCCTTGCAAGAAAACTTGACAGAGTCCTCACCAACTCTCAATGGTTTGAATCTTTCCCTCATTCCTTTATGGAATTTTTAGCACCTGGTCCTTCTGACCATTACATGGCTTTGGTTACTCTAATTAAAGAAATTCAGCTCAAAAAACCCAAGCCTTTCAAATTCTTCAACTGTTGGACACTTCACCAAAATTTCTTAATCAATTTTCATAACTCTTGGCTCCAACCTTGTCATGGCAACCCAATGAAGAAAATTTTTCTTAAGCTTAAAAGACTCAAAGCTTCTCTAAAAATTCTGAACAAGAATTACTTTAGCAACATTTCTTCTCGGGTTAGAAGTAAAAGAGACGAGATTGAAAAACAACAAATTCTCAATCTCAGAGGAGTTGAACCCATTGTAACAGAACTTGATCTGCAAAGAGAGCTTCATTCTCTCGAGGAAGCCGAAGCTATGGTTCTTAAACAAAAAGTGAAAACTCATTGGTTGAAAGAGGGGGACAAGTGCTCCAAATTCTTTTACTCTGTCATTGCTACCAAGAATAAACATGACACCATTAGAGTCTTAGTTGATGATCAAGGAAGAAGAATAGACTCCTTCGATGACATGTCTAATGAAGCTATTAATTTCTTCAAAAATCTGCTTGGTTCCTCTGATCCTGAAGTTAAAGTATGTTCAACTAGTCTTCTAAAAGGTCTATTACATCTTATTCCTTGATTTGAAGATTACGAGGGGCTCACAAAGGAATTTACTAATGAAGAGATTAAAGAGGCAATTTTCAGCCAAGGTAATGATAAGGCTCCCGATCCAGACGGTTATACTCCTTTTTTCTTTAATAAAGCTTGGCCAGTGATTGGAGAAGAAGTAATTGAAGCTATCAAATTTTTCTTTCAAGAATCTTTCATCTACCCTGCTTTCAATGCAACTACTATTGTATTAGTTCCTAAAATTCCTAATCCTAGTAAAGTCTCAGATTTTCGGCCAATATCTTGATGATCTGTCCTTTACAAGTTCATTTCAAAAATCATTGTTAAGAGGATCACTCATTTATTGCCCAAGATTATTTCCCCTAACCAAACAGCTTTTGTCAAAGGGAGGAGTATTGTTGATAATACCCCCCTTGCTCAATAAATAGTGAAAGGTTATGGGAGGAAATTTATTTCCCCTAGGTGTGCTCTAAAAATTGACCTCCAAAAGGCCTTTGACTCTATCCATTAGGGCTTAATTCCTATTATTCTCAAGGCTTTAGAGCTTCCTAGTAAACTCATCGACTGGATTACTGCCTGCTACTCTAATGCTTCCTACTCCATTGCCTTTAATGGAAGCTTGGTTGGATTTTTTAAAGGAGCCAATGGTCTAAGACAAGGTGACCCTTTATCCCCTCTTTTGTTTGTTCTTGTTATGAATTTTCTCTCCAAACTTCTTAATAAAGTTGCTGATAAAGGGATATTTGGTTTACATCCTAAGTATAAGAAAATTGGCATGACTCATCTTACTTTTGCTAATGATCTATTAATTTTCTGCAAAGGAAATCTTGATTTTGTCATGGGAGTTGTTACGATTCTTGACTCATCTTACACTTAATGCTCTCAAGTGTGAGATATTTACTGCGGGTATTCCTGTTTCCACTATTTATAACATTATTTATTCTTCTGGGTTCAAGCATGGTTTTCTGCCTATCAAATATCTGGGAATCCCCTTGGTTACTAGAAAACTTTCTTTAAAAGGTTGTCAGCCTCTTATTGATAAGATTAAATCCAAACTTCACAAATGGTCGAGGATGAAGTTGAGTTATGCTGGCAGGCTTAAGCTTATCAAAACTATCTTTTTCAGCGTCGCAAACTACTGGTGTAGGCAGTTGGTTATGCCTCAGTCTATCATTTGTAAGATTGAGCAAATCTACTCTCGTTATTTCTGGAAAGGGTCGGATATTCCTGCTTCAGGAGCTCGAGTTAGCTGGGAAAGAATTTGCACACCAAATTACGAATGAGGCTTAGGCCTCAAAGATATTAAATCATGGAATAGAGTTTGTATGATCCACCTTATCAAAAAAATTCTTTCCCAGGATGGCTCATTATGGGGAGCTTGGTTACACTGTTATATTATCAAGCATCATAACTTCTGGTTCATAGATGATTCTACTATTATCAGCTAGAGTTTTAGAAAAATTTTGAAGCTTCGCAGTGTTGCGTACCCACTACTTTCATCAGGAGTCACCAGCACCAAAGAAATTTGGGAGAAGGTTCGACCTAATCACAGTAAAGTCCACTGGCAAAAGCTCATATGGTTCCCACTTCAAATTTCGAAACACAACATTATCTCTTGTATGCTAATCCAGGATCGCCTCCCCACCAAAGAGAGGCTTCTTAGGTTCGGGCTTGTCACCAATGATCAGTGCATTCTCTGCTCTGATGGATGCGAAACCAGAAACCATCTGTTCGCTGAATGCAAACTGTCTTCTTCAATATGGAATTCTGATCTTCTTCTTTCAAGTATCAAAAAACCTCTTTTCACTTGGTCTAATTTACTGATATGGGCAACAACAACATGGAAAGGTAAATCTCTCATTACTATCATCCTCAAACTCTCTTGTTGCGCATTCAACTACATTATATGGGAGGAAAGAAACCGAAGGCTTTTCAGGGGTAGTTGCATATCCGAGGACACTATCATTCTTGAAATTAAGCAGATTATAGGTTCTCATTTAAGCAATAGAAATATCAATAGATTAGATAGCACTAATTTGGATATTTGTAATCATTGGGGTATAGTTTAATTTTGGTTGTACATAGAATACCCTTGACTTTTCTTTTCACTGTCAGAACTGATTTTTGTAGCATATTTCTGCCTCCTTTGGGTAATAAAATTTAATTATCCAAAAAAAAATATTAGACGAGAATAGTGATATGAGTTGATATAATAATAGTTCAAATCCTCAAAACTATACAATCTATCAAGTTGATATTAATTCAAAATATTTCAATAAATTTAACGATTCATATTTAAAATTTTCATTTTAGACTTTGTTCTTATCATAATATCATCAACTTTATACATTACTTGTTCATCATTTCAAGTATAAAAGTGGTATTCAATAAAGAAACAAAGCTAAACTAAATATAAGAGAGACCTTATATGAGAGTATATCCTTAAATAGTGCTTAGGAAGGAATTAGACCATAAAAGAACTTCTAGGATGCTCTGGGGTTTATCGTACAAGAAAAAATCAAGTATAATTGAAATATGTATATATAACCTAAATACATGGTTATGTACTAAAAGTCGAAACTCATCTTACAACCTTTAATTTTATTGAGAATAGAACATGGAGATGCATGCTGTCATGTATCATGTATTCTTAGACGAGAAGAAAAAGCAGGTTGGGGGGATTTGCTGATATGCTGCCTTAAATTGTCACACATTGCCGGTGGGTCACGCATATAATCCATTCAATATCTCCATGCAAATATTCTTGTCCTGGGAAATAAAAAGCTTTTTATGAACCAGCGTCCCCTTATCCTTATCATCGCTGAGCCTTAAGCTATATAAAAAACTCGTATAAATAAATACCTGTGAAAGTGCATATAACAAGTTTGTACCTGAATCAGTCACAGGATGTTGCTGAGTATCTATGTATGTTGGTTGCTTTGATATGTAAGAAAACTCGAAGGTTCATCAAACAACTTGATTTGATTGTTTGTTTAGAGATAGTCTTTTTTGACGATGAAAACTCACCAAACTTAAAAATTTAATCTGCAGTTGGGAGCCTCCAAATATCACAGATTCATTTGAATCACCTTCACCGAACCTTGAAAATGTTGACCTCAACCATAACCATAACCCGAACCCGAAACACCCGACCATGTTTTGAAGCCTCTCGTTTTCTGTTAAAAACTGACATTCCCACATGGAGTTTATGTCACTGGGTCCCATTGGCCACAAGCTCTCGTTAATGGCTTACATTCTTTGTGATTCTTTTCCACCCTTCTATCCAAATCATTTTTCTTTATAAATATGATTATATATCCTTTGCAAATTCATCTTCACAATAGCAGTTTCTTGTTTCTCTGAAAAAAAGGGGTCTTGAAAAGTTTAAAAAGGGAAGCAAAACGAATCTCATTTCTCCTCCTTGGTGAATTGACTAGAGATGTTACATAGGCTGGAGTCCTTAGAAAGCTGTAACTATAACGGGATGGAAGCAAGGTTGAAATGGCAGCAGCAAAACTATGTGGTCCAAAACAACAATCTTGTTGAACTATGTGCAGGCTCATTGCCTCAGTTTCAGGGTCTGATTGGGAGCAATTTAGGTGGTGCACAAATGATTGAGCTGAAAAGGCCAGAAGTTTTTCTGGGTAGTGTTGATTTTCAGGAATTTGTGAACTTTCCGGTAGTTGGACCAGAGTTTGGTGACAGTGAAAAGTTGGATTTGGTGCCGCCAGAGGCTGCTACAAATTACTGTATTTTTCGGACTTCTAGCTGTCAGATGTCAGCTCTCAATACTTCTGTCATGAAAGAGGAAAGAGAGGATTTGATTCTGGAGAAAATGGAATCCGCCACTGGCATTGGCAGAGAGAGCTTTAACAAGAGAAAAGCTGAGGTTTACTCCAAATTTATTCACGTTTTCTTTCCAGTTTCTGGTTATTATGAATTGCGAACTTCTGAATAAATTTGATCATTATGATACCAAGGTTATGAACTGTGGTAAAGATTTGCTTTTTGTAAGTCATGTTAATTACTAGATCAAAGCAATCCTATATAGTGTCATTAATGCCTTTGTCTCTTGATGTACAGGCTGTTGCAGACCATAAAAGCAAAGATAAGAGGATTAAAGGGGAAGGGGAATCTGAGGTGAAAGCAAACTGCAGTACTGAAATTTCCAGGAATTCTTCAAAGAAGAGCTCCAAGGCTTCTGAGGTTCTGAAACCGGATTACATTCATGTAAGAGCACGTCGTGGTCAGGCTACAGACAGTCACAGCTTGGCTGAAAGAGTAAGTCCGAAAACGTTTTCGAATTTTTAGTTTCCAAGTCGAAATTGCTAAGGAAAATTCCTAGTAATTTAACTGGTATGTCCTCTTATCTGTCTGTAATGTACAGGCCAGAAGGGAAAAGCTCAGTAAGAAGATGAAATGCTTGCAAGATCTAGTCCCTGGTTGCAATAAAATCACAAGTAAAGCTGGAATGCTTGATGAAATAATCAACTATGTTCAATCTCTCCAAAGACAAGTTGAGGTAAGATAGATATTATTGATATTATTAGCCATGAATATTTTAGTACATTATCTTTCTGTTAAGCTTGTCAAGTTGTAATTTAATATACTTGCAGTTCTTGTCTATGAAAATTGCTGCTCTAAATTCAAGTGTTGAAACCCTACCTATGAAAGAGGTAAGAAAACAGACTTCTGAATTGTCCTTTCTCTCTCTGCATAACAAGTGACTTCTTTTATGACTGACTTGTGCTTAAATAATCATGCAATGAAGTTTCCTGCTTATGTCGCCAATTTTCCAGCAGCCGCTAAGTTACCTGAAACGGCCGATTTGCCCTACTTTCAGTTGAATCCATTGCAAAATCAATCTGTAAATTGCATGTTAAATGAGTCAATGCTTCCTCCCCAAACAGGAGCTGAAGGAATTGCAAGTCCTTCTGTTTCTAGCTCATCCAGCATGACTGTAATTGTCCTACTTTTATAATTTTAGCTACTCTTCTTTCCTGATTTCATGTATGATGTTCTGAAATGCCTCTCATATTGCAGCAACTCCAACCATTCTCAACTTGGAACACGGATCCTCAAGGTCTTTCCAACATGTACAATATGGGGTTTCATTAAGGATGATCAACTAATTTTTGCCTCCAACATCAACAGGTAGCTCTAGCAATCTTACTCTAGTTTTCCATTCCAATTCCATTTTTGTTCATCTATGTTACTTGGAATCCATTGTAAGTGTTGGATACATTCGTACTCGACACGTGTTTGGATATACGTCCGACACAGACGCTACATGAAAGATGAAGAGCCGGTACAACATACTTGTACATAAACAAAATCCATTATATATATATATATATATATATATATATATATATATATATATAAACTCATATTTTTCCCTTCTTCCAGCTAGCAAAAACATCTACCATTTTCAATTTATTTATTCCTTAATCATCAGCTAAAATATGTTGTTCACTTTTTTTTCTGCAGATACTATTCCTGGAATCATATAAAACTTCAAGAGGGAATACAATTACAAATGCCACTATTCCAAAGGTTCTGATAGTTACCATTCCTGAAATCCTTGCAGTATCAAGATGAAGATGTTATTTTTTATGACATTATTGATTATTCACCATCTTAATCCTTAAAAGACCGTAATACTAGGAAAATTCCAACAAATTACTCGATGAACAAACTCTTGTTCTTCATGTATAGTCACTACTATTCTGATAAAATATCATCTATATCATTAGTCATCATAATTTTTACTATGTTTGCATTGTATAACGACTAAAGATATGTTTCTTGTCAGTATGTTTGCCCAACGCAATGAATATGGATGTCTTTATTGGCTGTGAAAGGAGAGAAAGCATAAAGGACCACACTAAGACTACCCTAAAAAAAGGCTGATGGGGATAGAAAATGACAGAGGCATAGTGTTGGAAACTTTAAGTTATTGTTGAGGGGGCGACAAAGGTGATAGAGATGAGTGAAAAGAGTGGGAGCTAATGACAGAAATGGCCCAGCCAACTGCCCAACTTGCCTGCAAATCTCCAAACTCTCTTTGGTAATATTAAAAGCAAAAGGCGGTTGAATCAGATACAACCTAACATTCTTGATATCATTGAGGAGGCCGTTAACAGTTTTCTTATCGTTTCTCCGACTCCCTCGGTGAACGTGGTGGATCTGTGTCCCTTTTTGATATCAGTTTTCTTATCTGTTTACCGCGAAGCTAAATTTTTTACTTTGCCACTTCCATTCAGTTTTACATATGATATGCTTAAATTCTATAGTCCCTTCTTTCAAATTTTGGGGTTGTCTGGATACGGGTATGTGTGTGTTTGGTGTATGCTGAGTACCTGCAAAGCAATAGTACGGACCAAAAGAATCAAGAGCGTACTAGAATTTCGTATGCTTGCTTCTCAAGTTTCCGTGAGAATTTCAACAGTTGGTACTATATTGCTGTTAGTATCAGCTGTTTGCAGCTGGAGCCTGGGGCACACAAGTGCACATAATTCAATGTTATTAAAACCGGACCGGACCGGCCTGTTCGACCGGTTGAACCGTGAACCGGTGGCCTGTCCGGTCCGGTTAACTCCCAAAACCGGATTAGCACAGAATCGGTAAAGAACCGGAAGAATCAGCTGAAAACCGGAAAAACCGGGGTGAACCGGCTGAAAACCGGCAAAACCGGTTTGAACCGCCGGTTCACTTTTTTTCTTTAAAAAAAAATTAAACCAAACGACGTTGTTTGTTCAACGAGCCGAGTTAAATTCGAGTATTGCTGAGCTCGACTCGAACTCGAAAACTTTAAAAGTAAGCTCAACTCGACTCAAAAACTCACGAGCTAAAAATTATCAACTCGAAATATAATATTAAAACTTGAAATCGAAAAGGCTCGTACTCAAAAAAAAATTAGAAGTTCAATTAAAGCCTAAAATTTGAGCCCAATTGAAGCCTAAAATTTGAGCTCAATTGAAGCGAAAGAATAGTTCGCTTTGTGCTCACCAAAAGGCTCCATGATTTTAAATGTCAAATTACCTCTATTATTTATAGAAGTAAGTTGGGATGCTCTTCTATGTTTCTTAGCCATGTGAGATTGTTTTGTTCTCATATTTTTACTCTTTAAACTTTTGGGATACTCTTCTATGTTTCTTAGCCATGTGTGATTATTTTTTTTAAAACAATTAAACCAAATAACATCATTTATTATAATTTTTTTAAGCCCCAATTTTATTTTTTTATTATAGTTGTATAATTATATTTATTATTTAATATGTTTTACCTTAAATATTATGTTGTAGTTGATTTGAATCATTTTGTTTCACTTGATTTTATGGTTTTTCATTTATACATGTTATGACTTGTGATATTTTTATACCTTTTAATATTGTAAACTTAAAAAAAATGTTACATATATATTAATATTGTTTTGAATATTATGTAAAATTTAAAAAATATATTATTTTATATAAAATTCGGTTCAACCGCGGTTGAACCCGATTAAATCAATGAACCAGTACCTTCACCGGTTCAATGTCCGGTCCGGTTTTGAAAACATTGGCACATATCGACTAATTATTGACCAACAGAATTTTTTATTTGGTACCTGTGAATCAAAACATATAGAAGCAAAACTTTCATAAATACCTACGTTATTCGAATACATATTTTATGATTATATATGATTTCCAAATATATATAAACTTAGATAGTAATAAATGTGGCCTAACAGCTGAATTGGAGAGCAAAAGGACATTGAACATGAAATGTGGAAGGTTGTCTAAATTGAAGAGAACAAAAACATGTTGCAGAAAGCAACCATATACCTTCTTCAGAACTAAGAAATAATAGATAAGATTATACAAATCTATAACATGATGAATATGAAGAAAAAGAGGCGATATTGACACTGACAGTGTTCACTCCCTTGTGCAAAAGGTTGTAGATATATGAGTTTGTCACTGTTCAATGAAATACTGTTCCCCAGCACAGAGAAGGAAGAATTCTATTTTGTTGTAACTGGAAGTGAGGTTTAACTATCATATCGATATCTTCGTTTCGAGATTATTAATAAGAAAATAATACAAGATATAGGCAACTTGCTGTTAATTCAGTTCTTATTCTAAGATGATAAAACAATAGACAAGCCAGATTGCATGATCAGAAAAGTCATGCACCAAACAGCATATATCGGCCAGTCAAGACCAGGCAAAAAGCTTCCATTTGAACATAAATACAGTACTAAAAAAATACAGGAAGCATTCTATAGGAGAAAGATATGTATCTCCTACCAACAAATCCTCATTCATATACCAGTTCCGCATACAGCTGTTTGGTAGATCGCAAAGGCATTCAAGGAAGGAAGGAAGGATACTAATTATCCATGGTGACATCAGTGATGTAGATCTCAACCTGTGATGATCATTCACAAGCTGGTTTGGTGTCAAAGCAGCTTAGGCTGATTGCAAAAGCTTGAAGAGCAGAAAGAGGGTAACAATAATCCATGGTGAAGATGTCTTTGCCGATTTTTCCAAACTGTAAGATTACCTTCTCTTGCTCTTCAGGTGATACATTATGTGATGGCTCAACAGCTGCAACAAGCTGGAAATTCTTAACAGAGGCCACTGTCACACGCCCCTTGAAGTTAAGGCACCAGCACTGTAACTGTTCATGCCATCTAGGAGCCTTGTTTTTAAGGGCTAATGGTTCTGCTGAGCCCGAGGAGAATACTGGTGTGGCTGAGAGGCTTGGAGAGATGGGATCTATGATCAGATCCTTTCCTTTTGAACTCAAGGGACAAAGTTGTTCATCAAAGGATTTGGGGAGGGCTAATGGTGTTGGAGCAGTGCCTCCTTCTTGAATAGCAGAGATGGGAATCGAATGCAAAATGCAATGCATTCTCCTTGGTCCTCGTGTACGTAGAACATTGAGCTCATAGGTAACAGAACCAATGCTGTAGTTGCATGCAGGTAATCTTGGAGACACCTGCTTAGAGTGAAATTTACGACTAGGTCGAGTAGTTGACGGGATTATCAAGTCACATGGAGGTTGACTGTCATATATAGTGAACTTGGTACCCAAAAAATTAGACCTAAAAAGAAATCACAATGTCATAGACATGAGGAAAAATCAGATAAGAATGAGAAATCTAATGGTGAGACTTGCCTTAGTTTACCAACATACATATTGCTCGCCCTAGTAAAATCATCTGCAACAAAAGATATAACAAAATCTGTGCACGTTGCCCTTCGGACCTTTCTGGCTGCCAACAACAATTTATCTCTCTCTCCCTCAGCTGTAAACCAAAGAAGCAACACAAATGAGTACCTCTTTAAAACTAGGCAAGCCTCGTTACTTGAAGGTTGAGTAACCCTGATTATGCCACAAAGTTGCTTCCGAAAGCAATGCTACACTACATTTACAGTTTTCCAATCAAAGAAACCTAAAATGTCATACTAACTTCTCCATCAGAGCAACTTTTTTAAGATAAAAATGATATAGATGTACAAGATAAATGAAATTAGTAACTAAGGATATCATAACAAGATGACTTACAAGGCACCAGACCACAGAACAAAAGATATGTAGAAGTTGTTCTGTCCCTTCTAATATAGCACTGAACCGGAGACTCCCGAGGACCTGGCTGTTCATTAGCACAAATATAATACATAAATGAACTTACAAATCGAAGAGTAAGAAAATAGTCACAACCATTATTCACGGACACCAACTTGAGAGTTATTGTTGAGTGTATGGAAGACACAGCAGATTAGGAAAAATAAATGCTTAAGCTCTATATGCATTGTTCGAAAAGTTAAAATCATATATTAAACTATAAGTCAGTGCTCATTTGATGACAGAAAAGTCCCAACAAATGATTAAAATTTCGGAAAATATGCGTACAATCAATATATCCAAGCAAAGTTTTTCACTCCCCTTGACATAAATCTAGCTAACCTCTAAACATCCAGGCTCCAGCAGTTTATTCTAAAGGAGTCGACATGACATACCCAACAAGGAAGGAGTTTTAACCTGTTTCAATGAGATGGGGAATGTGAGTCTTCCACATTGCTCGGGAGTCTTCACAATCTCCTTCGTAATTTCCCTCCAAGATCTACAAACTGCAGCACAGAAGACGACGACAGCTCGAGCAGGCCAAGCGGTTTCGCTCTGTTCGATCCTCTGGATGATATCCAAGAGCAATTCAGGTGGTAGATTGGCCCAAGGGCTTTGCTCTGTGAGTACATGTTCCAATGGTGCTTCATCAGGAGCAACATAGGATCTGGTCCGGCTACCCCAAAGCTTGCTTTGGTCTCCCCTCTTTGACATGTTCCCAATCGCATCTTTCATTCCCTTTAACGACCGCATGATACTCTTCTGTGACATCTTCTATGAGGGTACCAAATCCAATTTCTCAATATCCAACTGAAAAGAACAAATCATATATCAACCACCAAAAAAGAATAAACTTTTTCTTCACCATTCAAATCTCAGCTCAACTATATGCAAATTCACATCAAATCAAACTCCACGAATCAACATAAACACCCAGAAAACACAAAATAAAGAAAACTTCAAGATCAACTAGAATTTTTTAACATATATTTCATTTTAACAGAAGCATCCACCGGAAAAGCTTAAAACTTGAGATACTGAAAGGAAAGAAAAAGAATGTGGAAACCAACTCAAAGCCAACAGATGAAAATCAAAGCAAGAACTGAATCAGCTCAGACATATCCCAACAGTCTTAGGGATCAAAGTTCAACCAGTACCACAAAGCGAAAAGGAAAAAAAATAAAGATCAAACCCGAATGAAAAAAATATAAAATAAAAATGATTCCTTTTCTTTTTGGGTAAAGAAAAGGTGCCAACTTTTCTCTTTATGAGTGGGAATCCTAAGATGGTCACGTCATTGCTAGAGCTGGTTCCACCACTTCCATAAACACCATCAGCGACGGCATTTTAACACCCCTTCCACCACCGCCGCCATCAGCACAAGAATTCGCTCATCAGTCAGCCCAAGAGCTTTCTCTCCTCTTCTTGCTGTAAAAAGGACAAAATCTCATTCACTTTAATAGGAGGATCTAAAGTTGTTTTTTAATCCAGGGTCATTAAAGGGGTAGTTCTGTGGTACGGCGTCTAAAAAACGGTTAATATACATCGTGATCGATTAAATAAGTGACCAATTAAATAAGTGATCGGTTAAAATTTAGACAGATTATGTTATATTATTTAACCGGAAATATTATAAAGTACAATAACATATTAGGTAACGCTTATATAATGTAATAGGTAGCGCTTATATTGACTTATTTTATAAGTAAACTGATATATTTATACAGATTGCATTACAAATTTACCTATTACATTATAATATGTTGAAAGTGTCTATACTTTTTTATAAAAAATATCGATACTTTTTTGAAAGTTATGTAATTTATGTTTTAATTTTTTAATAGTGTTTCATGTTTTCCACCTACAATATTAATTTAATAATTTCATTTGCACAAAAAATTATTTGATTGTTTTGATATTTTATAAAATAATATTTAAAATTTAAATTTAACAATATTAACCAAAGATAATAATAAATATGTAATATATATGTTTATTGTTTTTAATTTAATAATAATATATATCGTAACGTAAAAAATAAATCATTAGACGCCTATAATTACTAAATTAATATCTTAAAACTCACTCAAAAGATAACCTTAAATTAATGTTTTCCACAGTGGAAAAAAGTATAGACACTTTTATAAAAAGGATAGATACTTTACAACATAAGAACTACCTATTACATTATATAAACGCTACCTATTACATTATATAAGCGCTACCTATTACATCATATTTTTACCTATTATATTGAAAATGTCTATACTTTTTATAAAAAAGATCGATACTTTTTTTAAAGTTATGTAATTTATGTTTCAATTTTTTTAATAGTGTTTCATGTTTTCCACCTACAATATTAATTTAATAATTTCATTTGCACAAAAAATTATTTGATTGTTTTGATATTTTATAAAATAATATTTAGAATTTAAATTTAACAATATTAACCAAAGATAATAATAAATATGTAATATATATGTTTATTGTTTTTAATTTAATAATAATATATACCGTAACGTAAAAAATAAATCATTAGACGCCTATAATTACTAAATTAATATCTTAAAACTCACTCAAAAGATAACCTTAAATTAATGTTTTCCACAGTGGAAAAAAGTATAGACACTTTTATAAAAAGGATAGATATTTTACAACATAAGAACTACCTATTACATTATATAAACTCTACCTATTACATTATATAAGCGCTACCTATTACATCATATTTTTACTTATTATATTGAAAGTGTTTATACTTTTTATAAAAAAGATCGATACTTTTTTTAAAGTTATGTAATTTATGTTTCAATTTTTTTAATAGTGTTTCATGTTTTCCACCTACAATATTAATTTAATAATTTCATTTGCACAAAAAATTATTTGATTGTTTTGATATTTTATAAAATAATATTTAGAATTTAAATTTAACAATATTAACCAAAGATAATAATAAATATGTAATATATATGTTTATTGTTTTTAATTTAATAATAATATATATCGTAACGTAAAAAATAAATCATTACACGCCTATAATTACTAAATTAATATCTTAAAACTCACTCAAAAGATAACCTTAAATTAATGTTTTCCACAGCGAAAAAAGTATAGACACTTTTATAAAAAAGGATAGATACTTTACAATATAAGCACTACCTATTACATTATATAAACGTTACCTATTACATTATATAAGCGCTACCTATTACATTATATTTTTACCTATTATATTGAAAGTGTCTATACTTTTTATAAAAAGGATCGATACTTTTTTTTAAGTTATGTAATTTATGTTTCAATTTTTTTTAATAGTGTTTCATGTTTTCCACCTACAATATTAATTTAATAATTTCATTTGCACAAAAAATTATTTGATTGATTTGATATTATATAAAATAATATTTAGAATTTAAATTTAACAATATTAACCAAAGATAATAATAAATATGTAATATATATGTTTATTGTTTTTAATTTAATAATAATATATACCGCAACGTAAAAAATAAATCATTAGACGCCTATAATTACTAAATTAATATCTTAAAACTCACTCAAAAGATGTACATACCTAAATATGTAGTTATTGTACATACCGAATCCAAATCTGCTGCTATAACACTCTCCGGTGTATAAATGACATCGACTTCCTTCCTCCTCATTTCTTTCATCTCTTCTTCTTCCTCCTCCCTCTTTTCTTCTTCATATTTTTTCAGTTCATCGTATTTTTTTTTCTACATAGCTCTTCATCTCTTTTATTTCACCCTTCAATTGATCTCCTTCATCCAAGTATTTATCAACCACCCCCTTCACCCCGTAAGTCCACTCCTCAATTCCACAACCTCCTTCACCACTCCCTCAAATTTTTCACCCGTCACCATCTTAATATCACCCCTTAACACCCCAACTTCTTTCACCACTTCACCCCTCAACACATCTACTTCTTTCACCACTCCATTTATTTTTCCTTCCACTACCCCCTTATGCCTCTCAAGTGTATCTTCGACTCTCTCAAGTTTCTCTTCGACTCTATCAAGTTTCTCTTCGACTCTTGATTGTCTTTGCATGATATCAAATTGGATTTTTTTGATATCAGCCAATTCAGACATCAAAATGTCGAAGTTACTATGTTTTCTCTCACCGTCGTCCCACTCACCGTCATCCCCCAATAAAACCATCTCTCCTTTCTTCTCCTCTGCCTCCTCTGCCTCCTCTACATCTTTGCCAATAACCTTCAAAATTAAATTACAATATTAAGACATTGATTATATTCTTAATATTATTTAATTACATTTATTACCCTTTCTTGCTTCTTCGCTCTATCCAACTTCAACTTCACCATCACTCTAACCACCTGTTCCTTCCCACATGCACGGATGCGTGCCACTCCGGTTCTTTCATAAGCCGGCACTGCCTCACAGCCTGACCAAAAATCGAACAGTGCAACCTGTATTTATAATAAAATTTATATTTTTATATAAAAACACAAAAAAATTCTTCAACTCATTTACCTCTAAGATTTCTATGCACCCTTTGAGGTATCTCTGGCTGCCCTTTTTAAAGGTGATTATTGATTCAATCAATCTCGAATGGATATATTCAGCCCAATTGAATTCACCCTTCAATCCTTCATCGCAAATGAGCTTCATATGTTCCTTGTTCGTTGACGTATTACCCGTTGAACAAAGAAAGATACCGACAAGGTATAATAGAACTCTGGCCTTCAGCTCATCCCCAACGTAAGATCCACTTTTTATTTCCTCTTCAATTTCAGCATATGTCACCTTCTGCTTCAAACCATATTTGGAGGCAAGTGCTTTCCAGTCCTTACTCTTACAGACTTCTACAACACTTTTGCCTTTATTTTCTACCCCCAATACGGCTGCAGCACATGAGATCCCGAGAGGAAATGAAAAATCACCATACTTAGCAATACATTGTCTGACATCAAATTGCGCCATCAAGGATCGACACAATTCCCTCCGAATAGGTCGATCCCTTACTCCTACCAACGATCCAAAACCTATTTCTCCCAGCACATTCAACTGACCCTTCTCCTTAAGGTGTTTAATTAATGAATTCACCCTTTTAATGCTGCATCTTGTCGACACTTCCTACATTTTTTAACAATATATAATGTTATAGTTCTTATATATTTTGTATCAACGTATTTACAAGTTTAATGAATACCTTATTTTCATGTGCTTTCCTCCGTTCTTTGTATTCTTTACTATCATTCCTTGACTGTGTGATGTAAGGTTCCTTTTCAGCATCACTCATTGAATTCCATTTGGACCTCACATCTTTTGTCACCTAATATTAAACATAAACGTTTCTTAATCAATACATTAACACTAAATACTACTCAATGTCAATTTCATTTTACATACCGAACCGCTCTATGTGCCATCTTCCTTCATCCTTTTGCATTCAGCCATACTGTCAACATTTAAAATTTGTAATCAATTTAAAGTTTATCGATACTTTAATCCAATTACCATTTCAACAATAATAACAAAAAGACATTGATACTTACTAGAAGTACATATATCCACCCTTTGGTTGCTTTCGAGTCTCGGCCTCAATTTCAAAGTCATCTGCTCCACCAACAATTTTCCAACCCATTGACTCCATTTTTCCTTCATATATCAGTTTACGCAAATCAAATTATTTTGTTACATACACTTTATTCAATATACAAATATAGATAACTACTCTTGTGGTAAAACGGTTTTCTTCAAAAGAATTTGAATGGCCACACCAAAATGTGTCAGCACATTTATACAACCTATAATATCATTTTCTACCTATAATATTTAATAAAGGTATCGACATTTATATTTTTTCCTTGAATATCACTTTCTACCTGCAATCGGTCTCAAATGCTTCTTTACTCCAAAACCCCAAACAACACATAAAAATCCTATCGCGATTACTGTAATAATAAAAAATTAGGGTTTCGACAACATACTTTTCGATTCGACTGCAGCAACAAACAAACAAACTTCGCTTTAGAAACGCCTTCTGAAATACAGCAACAATTACGCTTCGATTTCAAAAACTCGTCCGTTCTATCTATTTTCAGAGGATATTTAGCTATGACCTTTATATTTTCATCGGATATGTTATTTATATTTA